CAGCGGCCAAGAGGGAAGATTGCTCTGGAATCCACCGAAGATACAGAACCGTCGCGAAACAATGAAAAGCTGGCAGTAAGAAGTCACTGGTATCATACAAGCTTGTCAAAAAGAAACTGAGTTTTAGATTTTAACAGCCAAATCTTCAGGTGCCACTTCTGTGGCAGCACCTTCCCCACTCGTCCGGATGAACAAGACTTGTTGGTCTACCATGTGATTGCTGTGAAGCCAATCATCCAGAAAGTACTAGATAAAGTCGATAACCTTTTCTTTTTCTTGTCTTGTGCTTAATCAGCCTTAATCTTGTTCCTGTGGGTAGATACTGTTGCTCTCTTATTCGTATATAGCATAGGTCATACTGATTGTTAATATGGCTGTTGAAAGTAGCTTCATCCAGGGGAGGCAATAACCCAGGAACATCAACCCTATCCCGCATACCGATTCCAAAGACCCGTGTAGGTCTCGCCTGTTCTGATACTACGCCTGCATTGACGCAGTCTGGCACTGAAACGGCACAGGCGATACCAGGTGGACATGGTACTACACCTGCATCCATTGAAAGCCAGTGCGTGAAACATGGCAAAACAAAAAAGAAACGCCGAAGACGTCGTAAGACCTCGAAAGCGTCATCTAGGAAAGAAAACGAATGTCAGGCCTGTAGTCTTATCGTTTCTAAAACTGATTCAGCATTTGAATGCAATTTTTCTAAACTATGGGTACACTGCCATTGTGACAAAGGGGTGCCAAAATCACACTATGAGTTTATTCAAAATAACCCATGCCCGTGGTTTTGGTACATCTGTCCACTTTGTCGCCCTGGTATAGCCCTACATAGCTTGTCTGCGGATAGTAGAAACAACACGCCGCTTGTCAAAGTAGTTGAAGAATGAACGATCAATTTAACGGTTGTTTGCTCAAACCCAACTCCACATTTTGGCGGGAGTCATCGATAGTGCAGTCATCGTTCTATCGTTCACTGTTTGTTAGAAGACAGAGAAAAACTATCAGAAGTATTACTGTGATTAATTGTTATAACATTTATCCTTAGACTTTGTGTACAATAACCTTGTCGTTGGTTCTGTATTGGCGCAAGAATATAGGATTATTGAATCACCAATTTGTGTCCTGGTTTTTTGCGTTGGTTATTGACAATAGTTTCTGAGAGTCTTCTAAGAACAGCGTTGAGTCCAGAGTAGTTAGATCTGGACATTGACACCGCTCTTGTGTCACAACACAGTCTTATGCAGCTTCACACCTGCTAACATCACACTGCCAAAACTTGGCACAGACAGTAAGAAGGGCACTCCAGTCCTACTGACTGGAAATGCCCATTCTCACAAGGTGAAGATTCACAAGGTTGCACCCACATCATCAAGGGAAGATAAAATTAGAGAAGCATCACTTGCATCCACTAGCATGTTTGACAACACAGCAAGGGGTGGTCAAGACCTGATGAAGCCTAAATTTACTGACCCTGCAAAGGAATGCAAGCGTCAAAAGCCAAACCTAAGTCTGAGGTCAGTCGGTCTAATTCTCTTATCCTTTTTAATGTACCTGTAAGCAAGGATAGCTTGCTTGAACAACAGGCCCTTTTTGATTGAGAACAGTGGTCCAATTTGTGCAATAAATTAGGTCTGAACATTAGTTCAAAGAAACTGTGTAGGGTGTACAGGGGTGTCCACACACCTTAGGGTCAGCCATACCCATTTAACGGTTACAATGGACTCTACTGAAGAGGCCGAAAGGATACCATCGCTGATTCAGGTACTAGCCATCGACAGGGGTTCTAGCATAAGGGTGAGTCATGATAGACCACGGGCTAACAGACAAATGGCGAGGGAGTCACTGGTACTGATGCCTTCTACCTCTATGGTCATACGTGGTGTTCCGGAGCTGGAAACTGGTATTGCTTGCGAAAAACACATGCTTGACGTACAACGATGGAGATGGCTGTCATCTCAGATGGCCCTTGGTGCTTCTGGAGCAATCTCCATTTTCCGACTACCTTGCCCCTTACATCTCACACCGATCAGTAATCCAAGGCTGCTAAGAGTCAAATTCAACTCCCAGGAGCAGTTGGCCATAATACTTAAACGGTGGTACGAGACCAAGGGAAACAGCAGACCTTACTTGATCGTGCCTGTAAAAATGGCATGCATTTTCATGAAAATTTATGTTTACATGAAAATATAAATTATTATTATTATAAGGATGCAGCAAACTGGGGCCTTAATATGTCCCCAAGCCTCAGTGGCACTAGAGCGATGCGGTACTGAGAATAACAGTCTGTGTCACCCAAGTGTCCTACCCAAACCCAAGGAAAAACGACAATGGACCAGTTCTATTGGAATCGGCGGACTAGTCCTAATATTAAGTCCCCTACCAGCAGACAACGTAACGTCATCAGTAAACATTACTGTATAACACTGTGAGACTTTATCAAAATAAAATTTACCCATAATGGAATTACACTCTACCACATTGCACAAGTTTTATTCTTATATTGTAACATCAACCACCCCACGACACGCTGAGGTTGTGGGAATCACTGTCAGCTGCCTGTATAGCAATGTGAGAGAGCTGAGAGGTAAAGTAGGTGTACTCAGAAACCTCCAGTCACACCTGGACCTTGAAATAATCATCCCTATTGAAACTGACCGCTATCGCCGACAACGAAATCAGTATAAGTGATATGGTTCTGATCAAGAGAGATAAGGATAACAGGGAAGGGAGTAGTTCCCATATACTTCGACAAGCAACTTAGATGCGTACGTGCAACGGACCCACCATTTACTGAAATCCAAGGCTTCATGTGGTGTTATTTCACCGATGGCACACTAAACATTTACTGGGTGGGATCTGCTGATCATCCGCCTGTTGGGCAGAACACAACCAGCTACTGCTTTTTACCATCACAGGGATACGGGACTTGGGCCATGACCAAATCAACACAGCTGGAGATTTCAATGCCCCACCACTAAACCTTGGCTCGGGGTATGTGAAGGGAAAATTTGGTCGAAATCTACTGCGAACCATTCCAAATACAGGACTAACTGAGAATGTTGGAGATGACAATAGGTGGGGCCCTAGTGGAAAGTCAACAAAACTAGATTGCATTCTAACAAGTGACCAACCACTCGTCGAAAAGGTCCAGATCATGACTCCTCCAGGAAGTAGTGACTATGCAGTCATAGGTTTCGATCATGTTCCCTGTGAGAACTTGCAGTGAGATGTTGCGCGACCATATCTGTGCTATAGCAAGGCGGACTGTGCTGGAATGCGTAGCTATTTGTCCGATGCAGAATGGCCCTTAGCATGGGATGAGTTATCCATGGATGAACACTGGGAAGTGGTAAAAGAGATTATTCACACAGCAATCTCGGATAACGTCTATTTAGTCACAAATAGGTCATCATAAGTGAAGAATGAAACGCAGTGTATTCTGCAAGCGAAGCGGCGAGTATCCAAGAATCAGACCGACCACGATGAATACGTGGAACACAGGAACCGGTGCAACGCGAGAGTCAGGAGTGACAGGAGGTCGTTCCAGGCTAATCTTGCCGAAATACTCCTAGCAAGCCCCAAAAACTAGTATCGATTCATGTTGGAAAAGAAACCAACCAACCAGGGGGCAAGCGCCTTAGTAGGCCCAAACGGTCAATATCTTACTAGTCTGGAGATGGTTGAAACATTCAGTTTAGCCTTCGCCAAATTGTTGAACAGCAATGTAGGTATTACAGGTACGGACCAAAATGGTGACACTACTACTTCACCGCGTGAAGACCTAGTGGCTACTCCCCAAATAAACCCGGCAGTAGTAATAAGGAAGCTACAGGGACTCACACCTGGAAAGTCCTCAGGTTGTGGGGTCATCAGGCCGGCTGTTCTGGGACAATGCAACCAAGCTCTCTGTAGGTAGTTCGGGGAAACTGCTAAGGGAGTGGAAGAGGGCCATACTTTATCCAATCTTCAAGGGTGAGGATAGGCAAAATGCCACTAGTTATAGACCAGTAGCGCTACTCCCAGTGGTATCAAGAGAAATGGAAAGCGTTCCTGACGATCACATCAGGGATTATCTCGATAGGTCTAATATACTTCACGAAGCCCCACATGGTTTCAGGAAAGGCAGATGCTGTGTGAAAAACCTACTATCGGCTTGGGACGATTGGAGATCATGCTGGGATGTGAATGCTCCAATCCATGTGGTCTTCCTAGACATTGAGAAGGCATTTGACACAGTTCACCATGACCTTCTCCTACACAAAATAAGCCACGCAGGTATAGGTAAGCGACTTCTGTCGTAGTTAAAGGACTACGTAGCTGAGGGGAAATTTCGCACTAAGGTCAATCGAGTCCGGCACAGCTCGTCATCAAGAGTGCTGCAGGGTTGATTTTTATCAATGATCTGCCATGCTGTCCGAGCTGCCTGACTCTTCTATACGCTGATGACGTTAAGATATGGAGGGCGATAAAGTGCCCGGAGGATAGGCTACAGGAAGATCTAAACTTTCTGGAAGACTGGGCGGTGGCCAGTGGCATGATTTTCAAAATGAAAAAATGCGAACCAGTGAAATTACGCCCCTGTAGGCCGCAGAATGCAAGTTACACCCTGTGCAATGAAAGCTTGTCCTGCAAAACGTCGGAACGCGACTTAGGTTTACTTCTGACGGAAAAAAGTGGACACAATGGGAGACTTAGCAAGGGCGTATGCGGTCATACGTTTTACGTATAGACAGTTAGGTGCACTCACTTCTGAGCTCTTTCTAAGGTTGCAGAAAACAAACGTCGAACGACACCTAGAAGTGCATAATATCAAAATGATTTATACTAGGTCGTGAAAACGATATGAGAAATTAACATAGAGCAGTTCCCCTGTGTTTAGAATAGATGTAATACAGGAGTGAGTACACTTACCAAAGACCTGAAAAGTGAACTAGTGGAAGAAAGAAGAACGATGAAATTTCTATGGTAGTATGTTGAATATTGGAATTGTCCTTGTCTTACTTTTGAAGTCTTACGTTACTGTTTGTCAAAATGAAAAATGATGTCCTTGTCGACTTCTACCTCTCTACTATCAAAACACAGATGTGTGAATTGCAACTAGTTGGACTTAAAGAAGATGACCCTCACTATTCTGTAAGTAATTTTATAGTAAGATGGAACCATCTTGCTATTCATGTAAAAAAATACTCACAGTACCGCCGGTCTAGTGAGAATACAGGGCCAGATAACGAAATTGGTGTAGGTTTCTGAGTAAACTAATTTGAACTTGCACACTAGTCGACATCTGCACCATATGCACATCGCTCTGCTTGTAAGTATCATGCACCAAATGTAGCGTACCATGTTTTCTGTTGCACTAAGAGTACTTAACATTTGTCGCTGTCTAGACATATTCCTAATTCTTACACCGGTTCGATCGTAAAATACTCTTGTTGGTCAAATATGTAACTGCTAGCTTTCGTGTAGATTTGTATGCGATCGATGTATTAGTATTGTTTTATTTGACTTGGAAAAATTGACTTCAGTTATTTCCCTATATAATCCTTACGAAACAAAACCAAGTTCCTCTTGACTACGTTTTAAACTGGTTTAAGTCAGCTATGAATGTACTCTTTTTGATGTTTCCTGTCATTCCTGGTTCTACTACTTAAATTTGTCGTATTTCCAAAGTTGTATGCACCTTTTGTAATGACCTCTTTACTCGAACTCCTTTTTTCTCTCGTGGTTCAGAACTCATCTGATGCAAAAAGTAATAGTTTTTCAACAGCAGTTATATCTAGATTTGGAAGCACTAAAAGTAATTCACAAGCCTTATAAACAACAAATGTCATCACAAATATGTGTAACATGTGCTTCTCACAATCAAATTTCATATGGATTCCCTTTATGTTAAGATTCAGTATAGCATTTACTTCAAGTATACCATATTATAAATACATTTTACTTGTTTTTGTTTTATCCTTTGTTGTCATAATCATTAACAGCTTATATTGAACTTTTAACATTCGGCAAAGATCTGGTAAAGAGTAACAATAAGAACTGGTAAAACTATCGGGTTATCAAATATTTTACATAACGTCAGTCGATATGAAGAAGTCAGTAACCACGTGACTGTAGTTTGGTTGCAATAGAATTCCGAATTTTCTACCTTTAGAAATGCATAAGCATCTTTAGTTTATCCATGCTGTAGTAAAGGATTTCAGAGTATGAAAGTAGGGTAAATAATGCATGAGGAATTACCTACCTCAGTATTGATTTCGAAGAGATTGTTGTAACACCTTGTACCTTTTCGTCGAAACACTTGTATTATACACCCTACCGACTGTGAATTTGTCGGTGGTGTTCATAAATCTTCACTTCTTGTTGTAGTCAATACAACTCAGTTTGCTAGGGTTTCGTGTGGTTTCCGTTGGTTTATATATTATTATTATTATTGTTCCCTTGGGTTCCTAGTGGAACATAGGGCTTCAACTGCACGTCTCCACTTGCTTCTGTCTTCTGCTGTTCTTTTCACTTGCGTCCATGTTATTCCATACTGTTTCATCTCCTCCTCACACGATCTCCTCCATGTCACCCTTGGACGTCCCACTCGCCGCTTCCCTTTCGGGTTCCACTCGAGGGCTTGACGTTGGTTTACTAGATCTAAATGATCACGATGGATCTTCTAAAATATATAAATACACAGAATAGACAAAAACAGACCTTTTGAATTCCACTACGAAAGAAAAATGCTTCTTTTATGATGAATTTAAGTGTTTTCATCGAAATCTTAATCTTGTTTACATTTGGATACCTCGTATTTATCATCCTCATTAACAAGAAAAGAAAAGAAGCATAGCTGAGATAGACTTTGTAAATTGCACACTTACGGAATCTTGTGTTTACAATACAGTGGAAAAGAATGTTGTTATCTAATCACTCTAGTACACCTTGATGTGTATTACTTAGTGTTTATGTATTCTAAGAGGTATGAGCCTGTAGCTTTTTATTCATTACTTGAAACTGAGTTTCTACTTACTGTTATGTAAACCACATTTATTATTATTATTATTTGAGAGCTCACGGTGAGGTAAGTGATTTAGTCTTAAAACGAGAAATTCATTTGCTGAGTATTAAGTGCAAAAGCTGATAAGCCATAAAAATATATCGACATCTGGTAGATTTCATTGTCATTCAGTTTGAGTTTTGACAGGAGTCACGACCCGACGGCAACCGATTACCTATTGCGTTCCTGTGACCAACTGTCGCCCGGTTAGTTATATGCTATATCCTATTTTTGCCTACGTTTTTCCATTATCTTAAGGTATAACTAATTGGTGTAAGTTATCTACATCCAACCACTGGATCACAAGCTTGAAATCAGTTTTAATCTACCAAGTTTCGGACATCCAGATGTCAATATTAGCTCTCATACAAACGTTTTGGCTCACTGCAAGTTATTTTTAGGTAAAACTTCATTTTCACCATACTGGGCCAACAGATATTGATTGCATAATATAACTTGAGTCATTTTGTCGTATATTGATCTCAGGTATTTATCTTATAGTATGTTTTAATGTATTAGTCACTTGTTGCACATTTTAATATCAACCTCAGTGTAATGGATTAACAACAAGACTTAGTGATCAGATCTCTGAAAACAAACTGTCATCGTATATATATATATATATTCCTTACAATTTAATTGTTTTTCTGTACAGGTTGTAATGCAAGCAATCGAGTCTGTCAGACGTGAATTGGGCTCGATGACTTCGCGTCTGCTCAGTGCTGCCTTACCTACAAATACTCGGCATAAACGTTTATTTCGAACTAAATATGTTGAAGATGTGGATTTACGGAATATTGAAAATTGTTTAGTATCAGCTGCCAATAAAGTTGTAAATTTTAATTTCGGGTAAATTAAACCTTTACTTTTTTGTGTTTTTTTAAAAAAAAATTCTTATGGTTATTTAAACAGACTGTTGCTATGGTCAGAAGTCTAAAGGCTTTCAGTACGTCTGTGTTGTGAGTTGTCACCAATAGACGCATCAGCTGCACACCACCTTTCTGAAATTAAAAACGGATATCAGAAATCGAACCGACTTACTATTTCTGTCTGAGCAACTTAAAAAAAATGCTCATTGAGTCACATGAAAGAATAGTTGTTCAGCAAAAAAAGTTACTCTTTCCAGCAATATCATCCTGTAGCTGTGCAGTCACGTATATGTAGTCAATTTTCTTAACAACAAAAGGAATATTTTCATAGATGTCTGATTTGAATTGTAAATTTAGATAATTCCACGATACACAAAGCTTTAATCAGCTTGTGAAAGTCTGTTAATCGGGCAGAAACTGTATAATAAAATTGAATAATTAAGTAGAATGATTTAACATAACTGAGAGGGTTGAACAGAGCTCAACTAAAATTAAACGAGAGTCAAGTTACATAACAGTGATAATAAGGAGTTAGAAATGTAATAGAGGGGCGAGGGAAGAAAATAATACAATTAAGAAACAAAAACTACATATCCAGTGTTAAGACAGATCATGTCCATTGCAGATTTAATGACGAAACAACAAACCTCCTTTTTTCTGTATGCAGCATTCGGGGATTTAACATATGGATCGCCACTACTTATACGGTTTGAAGTAGTTTGATTTGTACCTGTTTCGCAAGATTCCTGCGTATTTCGTAGATGACTTTGAAGCTGGTTTGTGGGTTAGTTTTGTGTCTAAATTTGACTAGGTGTCCCAGAATAGAGTTGTGAGGGGAGGAGTATCTCTCTCCTCCTTTAATAAAACCACGAGAGTGAGTGTTTGGTGATACGTTTGGATAGCAAACGCTGAGTATGACTGACACATCTAGCTCTACAGGAGCAGCTAAACTGGTAGATACACATTGTTGAGGCTGTCAGCAGTGGTAGCTTATCCTTCACAATAATGTGAGTCATTGGTTTTGTAGAACAAATAAGTCGGAGGTTAACTACAAAGAAGGTTTTCTTCAATGAACGAGACAGGCAGTTTCTAAGTATTTTTACCTATGAGTCTCCATTGAATTCAGTTCATTGCTTTGAGTTCCGTGTGGAACACTGGGCTTCAAACTTGAGCTTTGAAGTTTCTGTAGCGCTGGTGTTTTACGGGATGGAGTCGCTAAACTCACCGGGCTCCACCTTCCCTCTTTATCAAGCTTATTGCTGGTCAGGTGTGGTTTAAAAGGAGCGCACCAGCTGGGAATCGATTTCGAACCACTCTCCTTGCTGATGAGCATTCTACAACTGACTGACGGTGAATAACATCATAATACCTTATTATTTTTATATTTTTAAAATTCTAAACAAGGTTAACACTAAATTACAAAATACCTTTTTTTTCTACATTTTTTTTCTCTAGCCAATCTAATATAGAATGTGACCTTAGACCGGCTCAAGCAAGTGCTACAGAATTTTTAGATACACATAGTCGTGTTCAAGCTATGGTTATCAGTACAATGGAATCATGTTTAGCTAGTTTAACTTCTAATGATACTGAAGATAATTCAACCATCAATCAAAGAAATAATATCCAGGGTGGTGGTGGTGATGATGACTCAGGTAATCAATCCATGAAAGAGTTATCATGAGTTATTCATAATATTGTTTATTACTCTAATGCAGACAACAATCAGTCAGCATAAATGGGAGAAATCTGAAAGAAGAAACCCTCTTTTACCTACCTACCTAGGAAGCATCGTTTCAACTACAGGCCGACGGAACTGACGAGGATATCAAAGCAACCTTTCACTACTCTCAAGTCTGTGTGGAGGTCGACAGCACTCAGCATGAAAAATAAGATCCGAATTTTTAACTGACCTGACTCGACGTTGGTGTTGAAAATCCGAATCTTGTTCCCTATGTTGAGTGTAGAAGATTTCCAAACTGGTTTTAGGTTGATGAAGGCGTGCGTATCTTGTCCCTTTCTTTCCCTCCTTACTTAACACGTTAAGAGTAGCCTCAATATCCTTCACCATACTATTGTGATGAGAGCTGTCTACTAGCCAAATCGGTAGACAGTAATTTACGTCAATGTTTACGTTCTCAAGATTTGTCGTGAGAAAATATGAACAAAGACTGATTCAAAAACGACCACAGCAGACTTTGCGTAGGCGGATACAGTTAACATATAGATGATGTGACATTCAAGAAACAGTCACATAGAGATGAAAGATTAACTTTACGTGAGAAACAACCAATCAGAAGACTGTGTTTGTTTGCTTAAATAAACTATAATAATGTACATGAAAATATATAAATATGCTTTGATTTCCTTAATAAACGATCTGTTGCCTGGCCCTTGTCTTCTGTTGTTACACTATACTGTTTAACGTAGGAGATGCAGCGGAAACTTCTATGGTCAAAGACAGCTAGCCATTTCATATCTCTCACTTTCAACTTGTAAACCCTAGGATTCCCCCAGCTTCGAATCTCACTCCACCTATTTCAGCCTATGGGCAACTACGTCAGTATGAATGCTTAGCCCATATCCCGTAACTGAGTTCTACTCACTGACTATTTTATTAGTGATATAACAAAAGGGGATTTAAAAAAAAATATTTTTGCTGAATCTGTGTTTTTGCTTTTAGATGCAATCGACAATGATTCTATTCCTGCTTCCAATGGGCGTAGACTGAAGTCATTGCGTTTATCACACATCGCGTCTAATGCTTCATCAAACGATTCACATCATTCCAATTCATTGAAACAGTCTAATTCAAAGGTATCGACGGTAAACAACAATAGCAAAATAATTCATACATCTGTACAAGTGAATATTGCCTCAGTAATTTATACAACACCAGTTAAACTTCCATCATCAGAATTGTTAACTATTTCACCGGAGTTATTTCATATTCTATTAGAACTTGATCATTGTTCAGCTCGATTTGAATTTGATTTTGTCAAGTGTGTTTCACGTCGAGTGCGTACTCTACAAGAAGCTGATGATGTACAAGTATGTGATTGATTGATTGACGTTTGCTTCGTTTACAGTAAATTTTTTGTACCAGGTGTTTGTCGGTGGATCGGCAGTAGAATAATGTTCTGTCATGCACGCGGTCTGGGGGTCGATTCCCGACCGAGGCATTCTTATAACTTACCTAGCCGGGAGTAAGTCCCGTAAAAGAGGAAAGATTGGGCGTCAGAATGGCAACCTCATCCTGCAAAAGGGACACAGGCATTGCCTTCTTGACGTGTTGGTCGCACCTGCATATCATAGTCACCCAACAGTCAACAGTGCCTGGAGCTATTCTCCTGTAGGTCCTCCTCCTACCATACCAGTAAGGTCTTTTCAATAGAGGTTAGACTCAGAGCAGTTACCATCATAGTGTTAGTCGGTTGCATCATGTTGGAGGTCTGTAGGCTAAATTGTAATGCTTACCGACAGGAATGTAACAGCAGTAAGGTGTTTCCGTCAGGTGACCAGCAGGCCAGCTGTACTGCCTCCGCTCTGGAGACGGGAAGTGTTTAGAAAAGTTTGACTCAGGAAATTGTACATATTAGCTGACCTTGAGGGTGGTAAGATCTTAATACAGACGCAACTTCAGCCAACCATGTACCTGGTTATGTGTGTGAAGGCTGATGATACTACCCAGGAGGAAGTAGATGGAGTTGGGTTCGAACTCAGTACCAATTAGTCGTGTGTTAAATTTTTGAATCAATGCACCTCATCTCCACCTATAATTACTATATGTACAGTATCGTCGTTTGTAGACCATATCTTGTTCTTGTCTCTATAGAGACTAGCAGTGAAATCCAAGATGCGTATTTCATTCCATTTCGGACTCATCAGCTGGAGAGCAAGTACACTCATCTATGTGACGACATTGCAAACTTAACTGACAAAATCCAGTCAACACTAACACTGAGGACTAAACACATGATATTGGTTACTCTCCAATGAATACATCCCTGACAATCCTATAGGAGGTCGATCGTGAGCCAAACTAGCTCAGCAATAACGTCTCTGACTGCGTACTGCATGTCTGAAACAGTCCCTTCGAAGTATCAGATCAGCCTTGCTGTGACGAGTTACAAAACACACACAAACCTGTGGCAGTTATGATTTCCTGGCGATTGCCTCCAATAATCTCACATCAATTTTTTCTGATATTGTTAGGTTCCTGGATCCTGATCAGAGTTCGTATGAATAATAATGTTGTAAAAGTAGGATTTGGTCATTATGCTAGAGTATAATTCTATGTTAGATAAACTTCTTTGATATAGCACACACACAAACACACAGAATGTTGCAGTATTATTAACTGGATGACTTTTCACAGCACAACGCTATTACCGCTGCTCCTAATCAAATCGATATCTTTTCACACGACTTAATAACTTGCTTTATGTGTAGCCTTACTGCCTGCTGTCAATATGAGGTCGGTGCCTCGGTGGCACAGTGGTAGGATGCTCGCCAACCACGCCTCATTTGGTCCGGGGTTCGATCCCTGGCCACAGACGCACTCCTTTACCTCGCTCACTAAGCCAGTAATTAGACTGGTAAAGAGGGAAGGTTGAGCATGAGGCCGGATAGCAACCCCATCCCGTAAAAATAAATGCCACTGCTACAGAAAATTCAAGCCTTCAGCCTAAAGCCTTATGTTCCACTGGGAACGTAAAGGAATAATCAGAAAAAATATATGAATTCGTAATAAATCTTTATTCTTTTTCACTAATGGGGAAATTGAAGGCTTATCTGACTACCTACCTATTACTTGTATAGCGTAGATTTCTGATGTGTAACAGAAAACATATGTGTATAACATGTCACGAGATACTTATCATATCATAAATCAATACTTGTTAGACAACATTATCTATGCATTAGTATTAAGTGCTAGTTCTGCACATGAATATTTTGTTTATTCATTATATGAACTAATTAGCATATTTGTTTGTGTGTATATGTGTGCGATTTTGTGTGTGTCCTACGTCATACTAAGTGTCTATCACATTCTTTTATGATAATACTTATACATTGATGCTAAAGTGGTTAAGTATAGTTTTTTTAACATCATTGTCTTTATTCGAGTGAAAGTAGTAGAAGAAAGAGGTACATCATATGTGCAACAAGAAGAATAGAACACCAGTGTGTTCAGGTATCGGTTGTGTAGGGATTTTGTTTGATTGGATGGAGGATTTCATCATGAGCTGATATCAGTTAGAGAACCTCTGGAAAACCAACTGGGAGTACTGATGCTCACTAGCGACTGGCCATATTCAAACAGTGACCTGGGGTTCTCGTGGGAAGCCGTGACCAGTAGGTTACAGCAGATTGAAGATGAGGCAGTAACTCATCGAAGAAGACAGTGCGAAGTGGTCGCGCTATGTCGTGAATTGGCTGTCAGAAGTTAGAATTCATGGGCTGGCCATTGGATTGGGTCCCAATAGCTCAATGGTCTACAAGCTCGCTGGCCTTGTAACCAGAAGGTCTTGGGTTCGAACCTTGGGGGTGGTTGCGTGCTGATGAAGAGTCACAAACTAGACTGACGAAACAGCTGGCTGTCCAGTACTCCCTGGCAGGTTTTCCAGTGGTTCTCTAACTGATTTCACCTCATGATGATATTCTCCATCCAATCAAATTAAATCTCTATAAAACCAATACTTGAAAAAAACTTCATGCATTTATTCCCCTTGATGAATTTAAATAAAGCAAGAACAACAGCGGTTTGTGCAGAATAATATGGTACCACCATTTATTTCGTCGGCTTCTCATCAGCTGCTTACAGCCTAAATAAATTGTGAGGTTTACGTACAGAAAGGTTTTTTACATACTTGCAAATTTTACATGTTGTCAGTTGACAGAAGATTCCACAATAAGTGAACAGTGCTCAGAAAATTGCGCTTATATAGTTTTTTCACAGGCAGTTCAAGTTTAAATAAAATAGATGTATGCATACAATGGAAAAAGAGTTACGTAATAAAGACGAGAGGTGAGTAAGATGATGAGTAACTAATAAATTTTGTAACGATGTACTGAGTTCAAATCACGTCATAGAAACAAGAGACAAGCAATATTACAGATTTTAAAAATAAAAAATAAAAAAGGAGGGGTGAGGTTAAAGACAAAGATTACGTAATCAGATTAGAGAATAAAGACATCCAGTTACCATGGCAAGGAAAGACTAATAACTGCTTCTTTCTGAACACATAAATCTGGTTTGAAGCGTTTGATAGAAATTGCTTCGGCAAACTTGAGGAGAATGGAGCTCCTTTGTCTATTGATAATTTTAAAGGATTTCTCGATTTCCACCTCATGACCCGTGTCGAGGAGATGCCTGGCGATGGCACTGTTTAAAGAATTTGTTCCCTTGAAAAAAACCCAGGTAGCATCACTAACTGTCATACTATAGATGTGACCCATTGCCGACTGCATGGAAGTTGATTTACCACCATATTATCAAGTCAGTGAACGATAATGAAATATAGTCAAGCATTATTTTCAACGCTCGCCTAACCACTATACTGTTTAAAAAGTATAATTAACCTTTAATGATATTGACCTTATTTTGTTTATTGGTTGGTTTGCTTTTTTTAGATGGTAGCTGTACTCTTCTCTGAAACATTAATGTGGGGATTAACTGTAAAATTATTAACAGTACAACAATTAGCTGATCGTGATCCATGCGTTCTGTTAGCTCTGCCTCGATTGAGTATCTTAGTTGGTTGTCGTCTGTTACCTGACTCACCTGTCGGTGCAAATCGTTTAGCTGTGGGGTAAGTGTAAATTTTTGTAGCCATTAGAAGAACTCACATCACTGATAGACTAACTAAGTGAGTTTCAACATTAATGAAAGCACAAAAATTCACCAGTCCAAGCTGATACACCAAGGTAGATGAAATAGAGGACGATTTGAAGTCATCTCACCAACAATCTCCAGCCATTGGTTCTCAGATTCTCAAGGCCACTGACCTGGTGGTGGTAGTCTACACCCCTCTACGTAGCCCAGTTCCATGTCGGCTAACATTGCTAGACGACGATGAAGATGATTCAGGATGCACAACACACGTGGCCTAGCCATGTCAGTCGATGTGGTTTCACAACCTTATCGATTGACTTACCCCCCACCCCCACCCCTTACTTAACACTTAATATTACCCGCCATATTATACCACTTAACGCGGGAGATACAACGCAGGTATTTGTGGTCAAAAACAGCTAGCCTTTCCGTATCTTCCGCTGTCTATGGCCATATCTCACAGCCATAAAGGAGGACAGCGCGAACTGCTGAGCAGAACGCACTTAAGCAATATACTTTTTTTGGTTCGACGGTAGAAATGTTGGTCATCCACACGTGGAGTCGGAGTTCAATTCTCAACTGATGTACTCCTAAACTTCGCCTAGTAGTTTTGCTAGCCGATTGTAACCGCGGAAAAAGCGGGAAGATTGAATGTCAGGCCAACGATCCTAACCCGTTAAAAAAACCGCTACTGAAACTTTGAAACTTGAAAGTTTGTTTCACACTCACAACTCCAGAATTAAAGAAGAGCAATAATTAGATATTCAATGACAATTATCATTGTGAAATATGGCACTGAATTTTGAGGGTATGCAATAAATAAGTTATTTAAGACAAGAGGATATGTGTTCACTCTTTTTCAGTTAGTTCTTCATTAACAGCTAGTTTATGTTCGTAATGTGAAGAAGAGCCAGAGGATGTCTGTTTTCTATTTTTACAGTTAATATGATTTATCGCATAGATAATGTTGTTCTTCTTTTAGTTTTTCTCTGTACTTCACAAAGTGACTTTATTGGTTTGTAGGAGATATCTATTCTAAAATATTTGAGTACTATAATAATGATTTCAGATATTTTCTTCATATATTACTATTATTAATACTCCCTTGGGTTCCGAGTGGAACATAGAGCTTCTACAACGCATCTCCACTTTGTTCTACTTCCTGCTTTCCTCTTCAACTGGATTCACGATTACCTATAATCTCTCATATCCTCCTCCTCCTCTTCACCACACGATCTCCTTCATGTCACCCTCGCACTGACGACCCACTCGTCGCTTCCCATTGGGATTCCACTCGAGCGATGGCCTGGATTGCGAGCGATGTCATTCAACGACCTCCTCAACGTATGCCCGATCCATCCATCTCCATTTTCTCCTACATATTTGTTGAGCGATCGGATCTTAGTTAGTTTATTGCCAGTCAGGGTTTTTTGTTGCTAATTCTCTCTGGTCGGATGGCCATTTGATCTTCAGTATGGAGCCAGCCAGTCCGTGAAGGTAGCAACTGTTGATAAAAGTCTGCAGTAGCCTGTTGGAAATCGTTTTCGTGACACACAGTGCAAGTTTCTGACCCGTATAGACGAACTGACTGACTTCAAATTTGTGTTTGAAATCTGAATCTTGTTGTTTATGCTTCGGTGGAGTGCAAAGGATTTCCAAACTGGTTTCAGGTTGATGAAGGCGTCTGTCTTGCCTTTCCGATTCTGACTGGCTGGCTTTAACATGTTCATCAGTGCCATCCGACTGTCTATGGTTGAAACCGTGCTTCTCAGTGACCTCTTTCGAATCTCCCTTTGATATCCTCTGTATTATTATAATTATCTCCTTTAGTTCCTAGAGGAGCATAGGGCTTCAGCCGCAAGTCTCCATTGCTTTCGATTCTCCGCTAACGCTTGCAATTGTCTCCACGTCTACCTGCATGTTTTCATCTCCTCTTCGCATGACTTCCTCCTCCATGTCACCCTCGCACTGACGACTAACTCGCCGCCTCCCATTCGAGTTCCTGGCGTATACTAGGATAAATTCCTTTTTTCTGTTGGTCAGTTAGATTGAGTGCGGATGCAGAAGTTGCATAAAATTTTACTTTTTTGAATGACAGTCAAAAGATCCTTCTCTTCTCTTCTCATCAAGACAAGAGTGCTGCAGTGTCTTAGCCTTTTTCTACTTGGCATATCCACAAGAGAATGAAATATAACATTCTGATTTATCACCAAACAAATAACTTAGTCTGTGTTTATTTAGAGTGAAAATGTCGATCATTGGTTCAAGAGCTCGGTTTTGTAGCCAAACGTCACGAAATCAAGTTCCACCCCACCTACTTTAGCCTTAAGCAACTAATTGGAGGTGTCATCTAGCCTCATAGGATAGGTGTGGTTCTTAGCCTCCCTGGGGGGGGGTTGGCAAATCTTCAACCTTCATGTTTCGAGGTGACCACGTTATCGCCCAGCCACTGGGACAGAATCCAATGAGTTCTAACTTCTACTAATTCGTTATATAACAGCATCGCAGCAGGTTAGCCAGCCAATGTTATCGGAGAATATCTATCCACACATCCAGTGTGCTGGACCCCAACCAGTTATGAGTTTCAATCAGAACTCTAGAAAGTCCATCTCATCGGTACTCACTAATGACTAGTGGAACTTGAGTTCCCGTATGTCTAGAACTACTTAGTTTTTACTGGTTCTCTAACTGATATCAGTGTGGGCTCTTGATATATCGTCTATTGTGTAAAACAATTAACCACATTATCATATCATATATTAGACCACCTTTTCTTCATTTTGTTTTTTGTTTTTTCTCTCTTCTTAGCCAACGTTTACCGTTTATGTTCAGTTCATCACGTGCCGAATTAGCCTATCTCTGCAGACAGTTGTATGCCCTACGACCAGATCAATTATGTCGACTAGCTAGATGGCTTGGACCGAATGGATTACCAAATTTAATATATAATCAAAAAATATCCACTAAACTATCATCACATATTGAGCAGGAGGAGAATTTAAACACAACAACATCTTCAGAGCTACATACTACTACTAATAATAATAATGCAAAAGTCACAGTAGTAAATGTCACCAACACACATGCTTCTCAGCCAACTTTATCCTCTCTGTCACCAAGAAGTGGTGGTGGTGGTTCATTGCCGAGGAATTTTCTCGGTACATTCTATCAAAAAACTCATGTATGGAAAACTTATCTACCTGGACTGCATCGTCTATATAAGTGTATTTCATCTGTGGCTGATCAATTCGCCAGGGAATATCCAACAGAATTACGATTCATCCTACAGGTATGTCACAAGTTGATCATTTATTATCATTACTACTGTTATTATTTGTTGCTTTGTCTGTTTGTTTGTTTGGTGACGGACAGCAGTCTAATTCAGGTGGTGGCACGCGTCGTAGTACCCTGGAAACCGTCTACTCAGTAGCATAGTGGATAGCGGTTTGATATTTGAAGCGATGGCTATAGGGGGTTCGAGTGTCTGTGGGAAAATCGCTACTTACCAGGATGGCATATGTATGCGGCTGACGAGTTCCAGACGGGACAAAACGCGTGTCGACTACTACTAAACAAGTAGAAAACAGAAAGATTGAGTGAAGAAATATATACTTTGCAATTAGATCCTCATCTCTTTCTGGCTCTACTCTAATATATTACGTATCGCATTTTCATTACAATACACAACAACTTACCAATCAAGTGGCACTAACATGTTTGTTAACAATAATTAGTCAGTGTCAACATGTCAATGGGGTGATAAGAATTAACGAAGAAAATTAATACACACAATTAAAAGGTGGAAATGGTTACAACACGTGGATTGCATAATGCATGATTTTGGAAAAATAAAGGGGAGTAATTAAGGAATGAGCATTTGCACTGTTTGATTATGTAACAGATTGTTTAGAAAAATAAAACGATTTGGACAATGATAACTTGTAACTAAGGTTGAAGTGGTCATAAGAATAAAATAATTTTACGACGATGACATGTAATTAAAGATGAATTAGTGGGGAAAATTACAATTTTTAAGGATCTAGGGGGAGGGGGGCGAAGTAGTCCGGTTTACACATTCATGTAATGATGGTCAAGGTAAGGAAAGTGGCTGTACAAATTTCTTCTGAACACATACAGGTTTGGCTTCTTCAGGTGGATTCCTATTGATTCAGCTGTAGGTATGTAGAAGACAAACTCGTAAAGCAAAATTAAGGTTAGTAGGAATGTGATAAATAATTTTAAATACTGTATTGACGTCAACCTTATGTTCGCTATCTACAAGGTGTGCTAAAATAGAGCTACGGATAGATCTTGTTTATCCCTTGCTTAATCATGCTACTGGATGATGTTCGGAAATACGATGATGAACCTGCCTAATTGTACGCCCGATGTAGCTGACTCTGTAGCTGCAGTCAAACTGGTAGATACACATAGAGGAGGCAAATTTAGGTAGTTTATCCTTATTTCTCGAACGTAGAATAGGTGTGGGGGGGTTGTGAAGAGACAGCGTACATCTGCTACATAATAAGCTCTTTTAACTGCATTCTTCAGGCGCTGTGGTATTATTTCGCTGATGTTGTCACCGAGGAACTGCAGTTTTGTGAACAGTGGTTATTTTCAGAACTGTTGCCATACTGACTCTCAACCTGTGCACACGCTTATTCCTTAATTACCACTCCTCATTTTTCCAAAATTATGCATTACTCAATCCATGTGTTTCAACCATTTCTACCATATATATATATATATATATATATATATATATATATGTATATATGTATATATATATACAAGAGTAGAGCCAGAGACGAGGATCTAATTGATAAGTAAATATTTCTTCACTCAATCTTTCTGTTTTCTAAACGTCCAAATTGGGATTTTTTTCTATACTAGATAAGTATCGTCGACTTATTAGTCCTGGAAGTATCAAGGCATCCGTTTCAGAAACCTGTAGGTCAACATAAAATTCATCGATTCGGTCTTTATATGAACTTTAGAACTATTAAGTCAGTTGTATAGTGGTTGCTTGTTGAACTTGATGAAATGAGAATCTAAGTGGAGAGCAGGATTGTGACTAGCGGTCTGTACGCTGAGCTGTGAAACTGAAGTACCGATTGACTGATATATCTAGCCGGATACTACTCACATCAACCAATAGTGCTTGTTAGCTAACCAGACTGATGTGATCAAAACACTGGTCGACCATTTCGCTGGTTTGGATCCGAACTCTGTTTGACTTAACCCAAATAACCGAATTCCGGTGCTTTAAATCCGGTTGGTCTCAAGTGATTCAATTCTATGAGCTGAGTTAAACAGGGTATGTGCCGTTGATGAGGTCGATCCCAAACAAGCGAAACGGTCGTCTAGTGTTTACGTCATTTCGATCTGGTTGGTTAGCGGCTGGCTAGCAAGCATTACTAACTGATGTTAATGGTATTCATGAAGTATTATCTTGGAAATGTGATTGCTAATTGGCTTAAGCGTGTTCGATCGTGAGTTCGAATCCTGTCCCAGTTACGTTCAGCCTAAGGCCAACTAGATAGTATTATCGTCTCTCATACATTATATGCGGCTCACAGCCTGGTACATTGAAAATTATGTCTTGTGTAAGTAAATAGTAGCAACATTGACAACAAGGAAATGTTATCTAACTGACTGCGATAGTGGTTGCGGGTTCGAATCCCGCTGTACCTGTTTCAGCCTGGAAAGACGATTGTTTGGCATTATCAGCCCTCATACACACAGTATGTGTTAAATGAAAAGTATGTTGTAATTATTGGAAGGACCCTTTAAATTTCCATGTTGTAGGCAATAAATCAACACACATCTATTGTGTAGGGCAGGTGGAGCATGGCTTCAACCTATGTTTGGAAGTCTGTTCAAAGGTCGTGCAGGATATATCATGTTATTACTGTTAGTATTAAAGCGCAAGCTTCACCAAGGGAGGCGCCACACAAATTATTGCCTCAGTTTGTGAGAGGGCTGGGACACTTTCCTTGAGCCCAAACCTAAACCAGGTGGTTGCCTTAAGGAGCCACTTCCTCCCAGAGCATTTGACTTGAAGTTGTATCCACAATGCAGTGAAGCTGCGTTCCCATCGTTGTGGATGATCAAAGCAGATCCCTTCACCATTTGATCCTTTCATATTCTGAAGCCCATAGGTTTGGAATTGGGGATTTTCAGCTGCCTAATGTAGACACAAGTACGTCCACCAACTTGATTTTCGGGCGCCAGATATTCAAGTTCGCTCCTCCACTTTTATGAGGAACACTCACCTCACAATAAGGCAGTGAACGGGACTTACTTCGTAGAGGTTATGAACGCGTGGCCACATAAGAGAGAGAGCATTCAGAGAGGAAGAGTGAAGTCCAACCACCCTTGGTCGTACCGGGTCGTTTATGGGTGACTGAGTTCTTCGCGGGTTTCATTTGCGACTCCATGAAACTACTGTCGGTATATTAATAACAATAATCATAATTCTATAATGATTTCCAATTAACTAAGCATTGAAAACCTTAATGAATACAGGGAAAATTAATCAATAGGTCAATAAATTTCCCAAAAATTTAATCATTAATCGAATCAGGGTTTACAATTTTTACTCTAACAACTAGTTTCTGGCTTTATTCTGTTCACCTTTCTAATATATGATGTTCTGCGATTACTTAATCCAGTTGAGCGACAATAACATAGTTTTGCTAGGCAACAAAAACAATGAAAACATGTGCAGTTTTTGTTTATTTTAGTTTATTTTTATTTCCTTGTTTCCCTTTCATGTGACACTTATTCTGTGTGTAGATTGGTAGTGACCATAATCAGCTGATGAATAGTCCTTGTATATGTGTGTGTGTGTGCCAACAAACTGAAATCTATCAATCAGACGATATGTAAGTCGCCTATACTAGATTAGCTGCGTAACGCCTACTCAGCTGCTGAAGGGCCAACAAGCCGCCTGACCTCGTAATCTGAAGGTCTTGGGTTTGAGGTTTGATAGGGTCATGGGAGTGCACTGATGACGAGTCACAAAGTTAAGACGAAACAGGTATTCAGTAGTCCCTGTGGGTTTTAAGTGATGTGTCAGTTCGCAACCAAGTCTACATTGAAATTGATCCAAATGGCTAGATAAACCCATTATTTTTTAATCCGTAGTATTCCCTTGCGTTCCGAGTGGAACATAGAACTTCTGCAACACATCTCCACTTTGTCGTATTTTCTTCTGTCCTCTTCAACTGGGTCCACGACTGCCCATAATCTCTTATCTCCTCCATGTCATCCTCGCACTGACGACCCACTTGTCGCTTCCACTCGAGCAGTGGCCTGGCCAACGCGCGATGTCTTTCGACCTTCTTCTCAACGTATGCCTGATCCATCCATCTCCATTTTATCCTACATATTTGTTAAGCAATCGGCTCAACAGTGGGGTTAGACAGGGTTGCCCAATCTCACCATTTCTCTTTAACTTTGCCATCGATGACATTCTGGAGTCAGCTCTGAAGGATGTGCGTGAAGGTGGTGTAGATCTGCTACCTGGAGATAGACTTTTCGACCTCGAGTATGCAGACGATATCGTCTTACTGTGCGATAGCATACAGGCTGCCCAAATCGCACTTAATCAGTTGGCGATCAGTGTCTGTAAGTATGGTATGTGCTTTGCGCCGTCTAAGTGCAAAGTGCTGTTACAAGATTGGCAGGAGCCTGTACCTGCACTCACTCTTGCGGGTGAACCGCTTGAAGTTATCGATAAGTTTGTGTACCTAGGTAGTTGTGTGAGTGCTGGCGGAGGGATGACGGATGAGATTTCTAACCGTATAATGAAAGCTAGGGTGGCATACATCAACTTGAGCCACCTCTGGCGCCGTCGCGACGTTAGCCTGGCTGTCAAAGGTCGGGTATACAATGCTTCAGTGCGGGCTGCGCTGCTCTACGCCTGTGAAACTTGGCCTCTCCGAGCTGAGGATGTGAGGCGACTCTGCGTGTTCGATCACCCCTGTCTCCGCAGGATTGCTTGCGTTCGATGGCATCATCGCGTGAGTAATTCTGAGGTTCGGCGGCGTGTGTTTGAACACAGTGGAGATCACCATTCATTGAATGTCGTCATCTGGAAACACCGGCTCCGGTGGCTTGGACATGTGCTGCGAATGTCACCCCAGAGGCTTCCGTACAGGTCTCTGTTCGCTGGCCCTGGGACGGGATGGAAAAGGCGGAGAGGTGGTCAGCCCATGACGTGGCGTCGTGGGATGAAGGATATTTGTGCTAGATTAGCATCGGTTGGTGTATCACGACTCCCTGGTTGGGGTCTGAGAGATAGCTCAAATCGATGGCTCGAAACGTTATCGGATATGGCCAAGAATCGTAATCAATGGCGAATGTGTTGCGATTTCCTTCTTTCTTCCATTCCCGATGATAGTTAACGAACACTGTTTGAACCTGTTAAGAATGAGTGTTTTCCTTCCAGATGAAGTTCATTATTCGTTCTCTACTGATATATATTTTTTCTTTTCCTGCCTTCCTTTTTTTCATCTATGTTGTTTTATTATTATTGTGTGGCGCATCCTTCTTGGTGCCATATTGTACCAAGTTTTAATGCGTTTAAATAAATAAATAAATAAATCTTGTGTTCCACTGCAGAGTTTTTTGTTGCTAGTTCTGGTTGGCTGGCTGGCTGGCAATTTGATCTTCAGTATGGAACCAGCGTAGGTGGCAGCTGTTCATAAAGGTCTGCAACTTTTTGGAAATCCTTTTCGTGACACGCAGTGCAAGTTTCTGACCCATATAGAAGAACTGACTGAGTTGGCAATTGCGTTGAAAATCTTAATCTTGTTGTTAATGCTGAGGCGGAGTGCACCATATTTCGAGACTGGTTTCACGTTGATAAAGGCCTATCTTGCCTTTCCGATTCTGTCTGGTTTTGACATCTTCATCCGTTCCGACCGTCTGTGGTTGAAACCGTGCCTCCTAACCAGATAAGTGAAGGAATGAAGTGATCTCTATCAAATCTCTCTCGTTGATGGTGATTAGTGTTGGTTGTTGTTGTTGCTGCTGCTGCTGTTGGTGGTGGTTGGTTACCTTCATTCCCTTCGTCTTCTCTATGTTCACCTGCAGGGCTGTCTTCGCTGCCAGCCTCTTCTGCCAGTTTGTTGCTTTTTGCCTGAAACTCTTCGAGTTTCTGTGTGTAACATTAAACAAAAAATCATCCACCTAGGCGTGAAATCCAGGTCCTCTAGAGTCTTCTTATCGGTCAGTTCAGCGCATTCCTGTTTGCTCACTCCCCGTGCACAGTCTTCCGCGTAATGCAACCCATCATTGGTGTGTAATAGGCAGCCAGCCTTGTCTCTCTTACTTCTGTATTCACTTTGAACGCCTCACTCACTGGGTTTTCTGTTGTAGGTCACCACCTAACAGTTGGCATTGTCATATAGCTAGCCAGCCAGCTGTTGAATCAATAATCTAAATATTTTGTTTATTATTTTCGTTTATATATGATTTTAGAAAGTTATAGAAATGCATGACACGAGTAATGAGATCGATGCAGAATCATCTGGTTCCACCAGTGAAAATCCAAATGGTGAACAAGAAGAAGAAGAAGAACGAGGACAAGTGGAAGATGAAGACAACGACGACAACACCAAGAAAGGAGAAGGTGGTGCTGGTGCTGGTGATGATGATGATGGAGAAACTGAACTTGAAGAAGAAATAGAATTCAATCCATTCCATATGATAAGTATGAATGAAAGAAAAATACAAGATTTAGCTAATCTATTCAATTGGAATAAAGTTATGCAATTTAACAAGACTACATCATGTCAACAACATGACCACCACCACCATCACCACAACAAACACCAGCAAGAAGGACAACAATCAAACTTGAATCAATTATTTAAGGAGTATAGTTTACATTTTCGAAAATACACTAACAGCAGTACTACTGATAAATGTATAAATTCTATGGAATCTTCTAGTCATTGTTCAGTGAAATCATCTGATTGTTGGCTGCAAAAATGTACCACTGGCGGTGCTGTTGCTGCTGCTGCCGCCACTCCTCGTAATGATGACAACAGCATTTCAGCATTGCGTAAGGATAGCATTTCATCCAGTATAGAAGATAGTGTTATTCTTGTCGCTGATGAAATTGGTTTGGATGTAGCAGCGTGTTTAAATCATGATGATAGTGATTTTGAAAGATTAACTGAGCTGGGTGATAATTCTAAGTTGAAGTCAACTTCTCCTGTAAAGAAGAAGAATAATGACAATACTCAAAACCAATCGAGTAAGTTTCTTTTCCAATATTCGAAAGTTCAATAATTATTCATTACTTGTTTATCGATTGGAACGTGGATCTCCATTGTATTGTATTCGCAAGTTTTCATTTCCACCTCATATGATTTTCTGCATATCACTCGTTTATATTGGGGCTCCACCCGACGACCTCAGAGTACGATCACTCCATCTCCATTTGCTTCTGTATATCTGTTTTTCAATAGCTTGGAGACTAACTGGTTCTCCGGTTGGTTAGAATTCCTCAACTTTTCTGCCTAGTTATCTGGTCTTCAGCAAAAGCATCAGGCCCAACGGTTTGATCACTGACGAAATCTCAGCACGGATACAGAAGGCTCGTTTCGCATCTCTGGCGTAAACGTGATATCCGCCTATCGACCAAAGAACGTGTGTACTGCTCCCCAGCAGTTTGCTCTTTCCTCCTCTATGACTGTCAGTGAGACATGGTCATTGAGAGTGGAAGACATGAAAAGTTTGGCTAGCTAGCCGTCTTTGATCATAGGTGTCTGCGTTCTATCTCACATGTGAAGTGGTATAATAGGGTAAGCAATATTGAAGTTAGGCTTCAGTCGAGTGCTAGGTAAGGAAGAGGAAACAATAGACGAGGCCGTGAAGTTACATCGATTGAAATGGTTAGGACATGTGTTACGAATGCGTGCCTAGTCACCAGTCGCCTTCCTCGATCGACAGGGAATGTTAACTGACTGACAAAGGGTAGGTCAGGTTGGAAAAGAGCTACCTAGTGGTGGTCAGACCAAACCATGGCTTCATCAGTCAATTTAATGCACAACAGGTCGTTTAAGCCAGCCAGCCACGTAGGGAGGTGTAGACTTCGCTACTGGTTGGGGTCCTCGGGACGATAAATACCAATGGCTGAAAACAATCGGTGATATGGCTCAAAATCGTTCTCAATGGCTGGTGCAGATGCATTCACTCCTTGTGACTTATAATTTCCAATGAAACTATATTGTTCTTCGATATTACTATTCTTTTTGCCTCACATCTGTGTTTACTGTCTCTATTTTGCATTTATTTTCACTTTCTTCTCTGGCTTTGTGTGCTGAGTGAAATGTGTTGACCTGTGCTGCTTTACATCGGTGCGAAGTTCTATGTGGAAACCATTCAATCAGTCAGCAAAATCAACATATTTCTATTATTGGTCATATTTGTACTGCCGGCATTTTTAGTTAGCTTAACATCTTTCCATAACCTTTCGTTTCCTCCTGATATGATCTCCTTCATGTCACCGTCAGACGCCCAACCCGTTGCTTTCCCACTTCCTTCTGAATATTTATTGGTTAATAGGTTGTTGCTAGAATTCCTTGTTCCCTATGCTTTCTAGATGTCCACCCGACTGACTGACTGACTGACTAGTATTCAGTATCGACCAAACGCAGCTGTTGATGAAATTCTGCAACAACCTGTTGGAAATACTTTTGGTGACATGCAGACACACACACGCCAAGTCTATGGACCATAATCAGAAACATTAACTTTAGATTAGTGTTGAAAATTCGGATCTTGTCCATTATATAATAATCGATGTAGATTTCCAAACCGATTTTAGAGTATGTCTTGCTTTTTCTATCCAGTCCTGCCTGGTTTTGGCATTCTTATTTTTGCCGCCTGTAGATTCAACGAAGTTCTTGATTTTATATAGTATTATGGGTTAATTAGAATGATTGTGTTGTATTGTGAGTTTGAATCCCGCTTCACCTAGATAGGTGTTTATAGCAGCTGATGGAAAATATGGTGTGATATAAGGCGGGAAACTCATTTTCCTCTTTGAACTATATTCACTCATTTCTTGAAATCATAGATACTTTGATGCTATATATTATATTATGATGATAATGATTTGATTTCAGACATGTTTAAATCGATTTTCTATGTTTAGTCACACACTGCATTAACTTGCTAAAAGCTGTGTTGCATATCCACTTTGTCGATGAAAACAGAACAAACCTCCGCTCACCTTCACGTAGTTTCGAACACTTACGTTGATTACATCGCCTTCGTTAACATATATACATATATTAACTAAATAACCAAATTAATAAGTGTCTAGCGTCTAAAGTCAAGGCAGAAGTTGGGATTGTAAATACACAAAGGTCTGGCTTAAATTCATGAATGGTCAAGGCCTCCGCCATCTTTAAAAGTTTATAACGAAGAGAACGCTTCAAAATTAGCACGGATTCGATAGATGAACTTAAAATCATGGCCTGACTAACTGACTGGTTTTAAGGTAGAACTTTGCACCGATGTGCAACAGTTCAATTCGCCACACTCCATGTAGCACACAAAGCAAGAAAAGAAAGTAAAAGGAAATGCAAAATAGAGACAGTAAACAGAGATATGAGACAAAAGGAACAGTAATAACGAAGAGTAATATAGTTTCATTGGGAATTATATATCACAAAAAGTGGATACATCTGCACCAGCCACTAACAACGATTTTGAGTCATATCACCGATTGTCTCCAACCATTGGTGATTACTGTCCCGAGGACCCCAACCAGCCAGTCAGGAATTCTACATCTTCCTACGTGGCTTAAACTAATTGTTGTGGATTTCATTAACTGATGAAGCCATATTTTGGTTTGACCACCACGTCTAACTTTCTCTTTACCAACCTGTTCCATCCTATGTCAGCTAACATTACCCATCGGTCGAGTAAGGCGGTGACTGGACATGCACGCGTAGCACATGCCCTAACCATCTCGATCGGTGTAGCTTCACAGCCTCGTCTGTTGATTACCCCTCCTTACCTAACACTCGACTAAAGTCTAACCCCAATATTGTTCCCATTATTATACCACTTCACAAGGGACATAGAACCTATAATCAAAGACAGCTAGCTAGCCAGACTTTTCATGTCTTCCACTTTTAATGGCCATGTCTCGCTCACAAGCATAAATGATGACGGAGCGGACTTCTGAGCAGTACACATGCCGTTTGGTCGATAGCCGGATTCAAATCATGGCCAGGGTTGGTAGAGTTACAGGAATCGATCAAGTCTTCTAGAATAGAGCTACCTACACCCTTTCATATATATATATATATATATATATATATATCATGCACTGTGATTTAATTTAGAGGGAATTACAGTTGACAGAAAGCTTCAAATACTTTAGTTGCCCTGATTTATTCCTCAGCTATTCGTATCGGCCAGTAATCTGTATTCCGTTTTAATTTTGTCTGATAAACTATTACTCTGTGTGTGTGTGTTTGTGAATACTTACACTGTAACAAATCTCTATTATTCTAAAACAATTGAAATCGATTGGCATAAGTTGTTTTGTTTTCGTTTTTTTGGATAACAACTTTAGTGTCATTTGTTACGTCAAACATAATAACCTTTAACCATCCAGACACTAATCTTGCCTACTCGTAATTTTTCACGTGCAATACATTTCACTTCCGGTTGCAATTGTATTTAGAATTGATTTGGTTTCGTGAAAAACTGATCGTATATTTTTTGAGGAATAGTTGTTAATAAAGTTCAAAACACACACACACACAGAATATTCAGGGTGGGGTCTTCGTGTGCTTTTGAAAGTGTGTGTGGGCGGTTGTTACTTCCCGGCTGCCCACACCGTGGAAGTTGATTGATTCTTCGGGTATCTGAAACAGAATGAGGGTTAGTGTTGCGTGACCACGGAGCCCAGGGGACAACTCGGTCTGTCGGGTCGGTCGGTTTTCGACATAGAACTTTGCACATGTGTGCGGCAGTTCAAGTCGCCACACTCCATGTAGCACGCAAAGCAAGAGAAGAAAGTAGAAGAAATGCATAATATATACAGTAAACAGAGGTGTGAGACAAAGGAATAGTAATAACGGAGAACAAAACAGTTTAATTGGAAATCATAAGTCACACGGAGTGGATGCATCTGCGCCACTGAGAACGATTTTGAGCCATGTCACCAATTGTTTCCAACCATTGGTTTTTACCATCCCCAGGACCCCAACCTGGAAGTCTACATCTTCCTACGTGGCTTAGACTAACTGTTGTGGATTTCATTGACTGGTGCCATGTTTTGGTTTGACCGCCGCTAGCTCTTTTCCAGCCTGGCCCTATATCAGCTAACATTGCCCGTCGAGGAAGGCGATGACTAGGCATACGTAGTACATGTCCTCACCATCTCAGTCGATGTAATTTCACCGTTTCGTCGATTGATTTCCCAGGGGACAACTGCTTGAGGCCGGTCACATATGGCCTGTATGAACTGGTTTCTTGGTTTGTTTCCGTATTAGAAACATTACCACCGGCTACGAACCACCGGTACGGTAAGTCGGGATGTACATTTTTTGGAGTCGACCTTTTATAACCCGCTCTCTCCAGATTGGAGAGACAGCATAGCTGGCATGTTACATCCGTGTTCCCCAGCAACAGTACGACTTTGCCTACAGCCCTCCGGTATAATGTTTAAAAAAAATCTTACAGGCAAAGTTAAACTTTAAGCACCACTAACTGCTAATCAGCGAATGACCTTGAGCGCACCAATCCCATAAAGCAGACACTTTTGTTTATGAAAAAATGTAGCATAGGATACCTTTCTCTGACATATGGTAAAAACATCTCCCAGTTTAGCATAGGAGTATCAATTGAAAATTTATACCACATCTGATACATATTCATCTAAATGACATACTTTCGAGATCCCTTAATGGCCCTTATCCTGTTTTAACTGATGTGTGTCCCGATAATGGGATCCACAAAATCATTAGAATGGTTCACTCTTTGGTGAATATATCCAAGGGATGACAGTGAGTTATAACCTTCCCACTCATCCAGGTGTACGAAGACACCTTCTCCTCCTAATAACAAAGTAATTCTCTCCATTTTCCAAGACGTGATATCACTGCAGTGCTGGTACCACTGAACTGTTGATAGGAGAGGCTATTTTCTCTGTTTCAGCAGCTACACCTGTCACAGGCTGTTTTAAAACCCAGTAACTACAAATATACAAAATCTGAGTTAAGGATAAGTGGAACCTGGCAAAAACTGTTCCTACGGAATATTAGAATCATCAGCTTACCATCCCTGACACTTGACTCCAATCGAGCGGAATAGGGCCTTCAATTCATGTGGGTGAAATCCATTGGATCATTCAAGGTCATTCACTGATTGGCAGTTAGTGGCGCTTTTAGTCTAATCGCTATCCTAACAATCTTCCTGGCATGGTAGGACCTGCAGGAACATTAGTTCCAGACAATGTTAGCTTGTTGTGTCATTGCGATATGCAATCTCGGCGACCACCACGTCAAGGTAGCAGCTATCAGTCGGCCGGGTAAAAGCTCACGCACACACACTTTTTCTGCTGTATCGTTTGAATCACGCTTAGGGTTAGGTTAGAGTGTATGATTCACTGAGTTTCAACGTAGAACTTTGCATAAAAGGGCTGCACCAGTTCAAGTGTTGGGCCACACTGCATTTAGTACAACACAAGGGTGGACAGAAAAGTGAAAAACAGAGATGCGAAAGCAATACTAAGGTTAGGCGTCGAGTGCTAGGTGGGTGGGAGGGGAAATCAATCAACGAGGCTGTGAAGCTAAATCGACTGAGATGGTTAGGACATGTGTTACGCATGCATACCTAGCCACCGTCTTCCTCGACGGACAATGTTAGCTGATATAGGGTCAGGCCGGAAAAGAGGTAACGGCGGCCAAACCAAAACTTGGCTTCATCAGTCAATCAAATCCACAACAGTTAGTTTAAGGTGATCACAGAGGGAGGTGTAGACTTCTTGATTGGCTGGTTGGGGTCCTCAGAACGGTAAAAACCAATAAAGGCTGGAGACATTTGATGATATTGCTGGCTGAAAATCGTTGTCAATGGCTGCTGCAAATGCATCCACTCCTTGTGATTTATAATACCCAATGAAACTATATTGCTCTTCGTTATTACTGTTCCTTTTATCTCATATCTCTCTTCACTGTCTCTACTTTGCATTTCTTCTCGTGCTTTGTGTACTACATGGAGTGTGACGACTTGAACTGCTGCACATCTGTGCAAAGTTCTATGTTAAAAACAGACAGACAAATTCAAAAGAACTATAATCAGTAGAAATATGGAGAAGAAAGAATATTAACACGAGAGTTTAATGGATACAGGAGATCACTGAGTGACTGTCTCCGTGCCGTTGTGAATAATTTTGAACAACATCACCAACATTCTTAAACTCCATCAGTTCTTAGCGTCTCTAGGATCATATTGAAGCAATCTACACGTCTCTAGGTGTCTCAAAGCAACAATCAAAGACTACAAGGATTGTAGACATGTTTTTTTGTTTTAATTTCACCACCCCTGGAATTTTTTTCAACATAATCCTTTGTCAGCTAACATCACTTGATGAAAAAAGGTGATGGTTGGGCATATGTAACATGTGTCCTAGCCATATCAATCGATGTAGCTTCACAACCTCATCGATTGACTTTCCCCCCTCCCTTACTTAACACTAATATGCCTAACCTCTATATTACCGACGATATAATACGACGTAACACAGGAGACAGAACACAAACCACTGTGGTCAAAGACAACTAGTATTCCATGCCTTCTACTGTTAATGACCATGTCTCACAGCCACAAAGGAGGACGGAGTGAACTGCTGAGCAGTACACATGTCTCTTGGTCGACAGCCGGATATCACATCTACTCCAGAGATGGTGTAAGCTGCCAAACGCCACATAAGCCTTTTTGTATATGTGCTGAGATTTTGTTAGCGACCGGTCCCTTTTTCCATTGGTGGAACTTCGCAAAATCATTGAAGTGGTGGTCTTCAATGATTGCCTAACTGATTTTGTCTCGTGATGAAAAAATCTTCAATAAACAATAAAGATTTAATTGAATTTTAGATTTTCCCGTCGATTGATTGGTTGTACCAAAGTGCTCGGTCTCAGGTTGACATGTCTGTCGGCTTCTTGTGCAGATGCTTCTACGATGTCTGCGCATGTAATTAGAATTTAATTGGTGGATGGTGACTAGTAGTGGAATCCAGGATGCGCATTGGCGTTTGAAATTATGGGTACTGGGTTCGAACCTCGGTGGGAACATCATCACTCGCTGGGGAATGCAGGTACATCCACTAGGTGACGAGTCCCAAATAGGACGAAATGCGCATTCTGGTTGGATTCCACCGCTAATCACCATCCACCAATTAAACAATGAAGATGTTGTAGATTTCGAGTATGATAAAAAGTCAATACATCTACGCTATTGTGAACAATTTTTACCTGAGACACCAAAACATGTTTACCATTGATTCCTAACATCCTCAAGGCTTTAGTCATGTATCTCAAATCAGCAGTCGTAGGCTTCTTTTTTGAGTACATAGATTACATAATCGTTAAGTAGCGTGCATTAAATCGCTGTGGTGTAAGCTGTTCCATGATTTTATGTTTTGAATATGCAGACAGGTCTTTTGCATTCCTGTTAAAAACATGATAGTAATCACCTCTTAACGACTGATATCACTCCTTGTATACGTGACGCAATCATTGTATCTGTTCATTTTCTTCACCCTAGAAGGAGTAATCCTATCTCATTAATATTGCTTCTTACAGGGATGAAATGCTTAAGACGCAAATCATCTCAAAGGGTTTTTTCACTTACGATGTATTCCTACGAATACGGTTTACCTAGTGTCTTCGATTAACAGAATTTTGTTGTCCATCTGTCTGTCTGTCTAAATTCACCGATCTATTTAATACCATAACGCTTTGTACACTTTGTTAGGTAGATGAAGCGTAACCTCCTCGGAAATACACATACCTCATTATGAAGCTCGTTAAACAAAAGTTGTAATTTCGCCTCCTTTAAACCAGTGACTTTAGTTTAGACACCTGTCGGTGGCACAGCGGTTAGGACTTTCGTCGACCATGCAGATGGTCTGGGGTTCGACCCTCTACCGACGCACACCTGATATCAATGGTCGGCCTGCAAAATTCATATGCTAAAAATTCCATACTTGTACCAAAAAATGGTGTAGAATCAAGCTATAATTAAAAAAACAAAGATCCCATCCCAGCGACCGAAAAAATTATTGATAGATGAGACAGCAGCAAATACTACACTGATTGGTTGATTTATATGAGCGGTTGGATAGATCACTGACGCCTAAACCACTGAACGTCCAAGGCAGTGCATTAAAATAGAATTTAATACTAATTATTGTTAATTTTGACTAATTCTACCATTTCTCCTTATTGTTCTCAACATTATATAGGCACATTTACACAAAGGCTTCAGCTATTAAATTTAGGATCACCTATTGAAGGTATACAAAATCTAAATGATTCCCTCCTATTCAATTATTTACCCACTTGGCAACCTGATTGTCCCCCCTCCTCATCATCATATCGAGCTGTTGTCAATCGATCAAAGCTTGAAACTGATGAAGACAATAATTCTACACATTTCACAGATGATGATATCATTGGTGATGATACAGATGATGCTGAGGATTATCAATCTGATTATATAGTTGGACGTCAATGTGCATCGTGTAATCGTAGCTTCACTTTGATTTGGCGTCGTCATCATTGTCGTCGATGTGGGCATATCTTTTGTTCAAAATGTTGTAATCATTGGCAACCGATTGAAGGGTTGGCAAGTGATAAACCAGTACGTATATGTCTTGAATGCTATGAATTTCTTAGTCCAAATATCTGAACAATGTATAATGTGCCTATCTGTGTTATATATATGCATATTAAATGTTGATGATAATGAATTTGTGCAATGCATCACACACAGTCACTGTCTTTCTTCAAACATCTTGTGCCAAACAAACTCATGTTTGCCTTGTCAGTGTGATAAAGCAATACTGGCTATCGCTTATTCGTCTGTCATATATATATATATATATATATATATATATATATATATATAACATTCATTGTTCAGTACTACAGCTGTTCTAAACAATAATTGTGATACTTATTTAATTTCATCACTAACTTTATTTATTTTTAATTTATTAACTTGCTTTGAAGGTATTTTCTCTCATATGTATGTATGTGTGTAGTTGGACATTTTAGGCAATCTGACCATACATACATAAAATCAGCTGATTGGCGCATATGTCAACTATGTAATCTGATATTAACCAATCAGAGAGTGCAGCTATCTCGCCTACTGAATTAGACGTTCTCTGATTGGTAGGTTTAAGGACGACCTATCTATCAGCTGATTATAGGCTTTATCCACTTGTTTTGTGGTTTACTCTGTTTTATTCTTCAGATGGTGTAGTATTATTATTGTTATTATGTACATAAATGTGATTTCTTTTTATTTCTGTAAATGATCAGTTAATTAACTAATATGCTTTGTATACATAACTGAATTATATTGCTACTTAAATTATTATTATTATTATTATTATTGCTATTATTATTACTATTTTAAATATTATTAGCAATAATAGTGATAATAAAATGGGGGAGATTTTGTAATTTCTTTCTTTTGTTTAACTTTCACATTTATAAGAATTTGCATCATATAGATTAAAAGTAGTCAAATATACGAAATATTGTCTTGTCATTTTTCCCATTACTTTTCGGAGTTGAAAGTAGGAAAGGGCTTCAGTAACAGCTTATCTCTATCGTACTCTGTTTACAGCGGTCATTTTTATCTGGCTCCACAACTGTTCAAATGTTGTATTCATTCCCTGTTCTTTACATAATCTTCTCCATGTTATCCTTGAACAACCGACTTGTCACTTTCTATTCTCATTGGGATTCCATTCAAGGCCCTGATGTGTCATGCACTTGAAGGTGTTTTCTCAGTGTATTTCCAATTTATTTCTATTTTCAAATGTTAGTTTGCAGGGATTTTGATTGGTTTCAGGGATTCATCATGAGCTGACATCGGTTAGAGAACCATTGGAAAACCAGTCTGGTAGTACTGCTGTTCCGTCCTAGTATGTGACTCTTCAGGAATACGCACTCACCGCTGGGGAACGAATCCAGGACCTTCTGGTTACAAGGCCGGCGAGCTCGTAGACCATTAAGCCACTGGGACCCGATCCAGTGGCCAGCTTGTGAATTCCAACGTCCATTTTATTCTACAGATTTTTTGGGCTGTAGATTGGTTCTCAAACGGTTCACTGCTACAACAGTTTTGATAAGTCTACAGCACTTTGTTGGAAATGCTTTGCTCACACTTCCGCCAAGTCTGTGAATCATCTATAAGCAATGACTTCGGATATTGTTCCACATTCTTGATGCTCGAGATCTCCAGACCAGTGAACACCATGTCTTGCTTTCAAATAATGTAAGTGGATTTGTGGCACGTCCATTCAGTTGCTCCATTTCGAACCACCTACTAAAGGTGGTAATTTCAGTGGACCGGATACAGTATACGTAATTCATAAGCAAATGCATGAAACAGTCCAAGCAGCTGTTAAATTGAGCTGTCTAAATCAATAATGGTGATATGTTAGTAAGATGAAAACAGTAATCACCCCTCAATTACGCAAAAAACTGGTATCTCACGTAATGAACTAATAGCCATATACTGTGCTGTCTGACGGCGAGTGATACTTTGTAGCTGCCCAATCAGAATATGGGGGGTAAAAGCCTGCGACCTATTTACTGAAAATCAACTGGTAAGTGAGCCTTAACAAATAACAAGGAGCGCGAATTCGTCAATTCCCTCTTAATCTGAAGGATACAGTCCTTATCTCTGATTCAGTCAAGGATGGAGTGAATTGAATCATTTCTTGTAAATTTTTAAAATTCTCGCTGCCTAAAATAATCATTCAAAACTTTGTTTATCTTATTCATTTGACCTTAATTCTGTAATCTCAGCTCTGATCGACTCTCTGACTGTTTAATTTGTGGCTATATTGTTTTCGAGGTTGTTGTTTTTACCGTATAATGCAACCCTATTGTTTATTATTACTATTATTTTCATGACTGATTATATACACAATAAATATTCTTGGTTATTACTATCATACTGAAAAATTAATTACCTTAATTGGCTGTGCGCATATATCTGATATGACTGACTGGTAATACTACCGAGTAGACTGCAAGCTACACAAACTTAACATGAAACTAACAGAGACTACTCTAAGCTTCAACAATACCACCGGCGTGAGAAAGCATAAAAGAATTACCTTTGAAAAGAGATCTTTCACAGTCTTAAACAACTTTATAAAACTCACAGTATGATAGAGCATTATTGGCTGGTAACACTTTAAGCACTATAAATAATCACGTCAGGTCTTGATACGGTTACATCGTCAGTGGGTAATAATATTGTATTACTGTGTTTTTCTATCAGATAAAATCATTGTATGGTGGAACTATGCCCCCTACATCCTCATTTCTATTTCAGGTGGAAGGTAGAGCTTCAAAGCTTTCAGAGTTCTAATAACAGTGGTATTGGCATGCTGGACTTAACTTCTTTCCTGGGCTTGCTACTGGCTGGTAGTGAACTAGGCAAGGTTCATAGGAGTGCGTTGGTCGGGAATCTAACCTGAACCTCTTGCACTATACAAATTCTGTTCTTGTATCAATGAAACGATCCAAAATACTTGACAGTGATTGCATAACACAAAAGAGACCGTGATTGCACGATAACTGTGAAGTACAGTTATTTTAAAGTTATAAGCAAAATTAAGGACATATATAACAAAATATATGTCGGAGTAGAATTTGTGGGGAAACCAACTGGCGGTAGTATAACGATAGAAGACAAGAATCAGGCAACAGATCGTTTATTGAGAAAATCAGATATTTATATATTTTTATGTACATTATTATTCTTTATAATTAGTAGAGAAGCAGCGTCTTCTGATTGGTTGTTTTCTCTCTGAAAGTTAATCTGTCATCTCTTTGTGGCCATTTCTTTGAAGGTCAGACCATGCATCTGTGAATCGTATCCGCCCACGCAAAGTCTTATGGGATTGGTTGTTGAGTTAGTCCTTGTTGTTGTTCTTGTTTTTCTCGTGACCAAGATTTGGGACGTAAACATTGACGTAAATTGCTGTCTACCAATTTTGGCTAGCAGACAGCTCTCACCACAGTAGCATTTATATTCATCTACGCGCGTTGTGTTCCATAGTTTAATTCTTTTCAATTTACAAGCATGTGAAATATCGGAAACTATAAATGTTATTAGTAGTAATCACCCTTGGTGATTGACAGCTGTTACACTACTGAGCTATTCGGTGACCTTTGGTTTGAATCCTACTGCGGCACAGATTTTCCCTTCTCCATCCTCTACACTAATAATCAAATAAATAGTCGTCAATAAAGCTGTTCGCAATAAAATAAGGCCTTATCAGTTAAGCTCCCTGTTACTAAATCACCGTATTTCACAGGGATATTTTACAACTTTAACACATATCCCCCCTCTTGAATATTAAGTAATTAGATCTGTAGTTCACCGTGATAGTTGGCCGTGTACCTTGGTGATCATTTCGCAAACTTGGCTTCCAGAATTCAACCTGCACCGTCACTACTAAAGACTGGGAGAGTATTACTGTAGTCTCCTTTAGTTCCTAGAGGAACATAGGACTTCAGCCAAACGTCTCCATTGCGTTTGGTTCTCTGCTAGAGTTTTCACCTGGCTCCAGGTCTGCCCACATGCTTTCATCTCCTCTTCAGATGACCTCCGCCATATCACTCTTGGACGACCAGCTCGCTGCTTCCCGTTCGGGTTCCACTCGAGAGCCTGTCTTGTGATGTCACTTGATGGTTTTCTCAGTATGGCCACTCCACCACCTCCATTTCTTCCTACATATTTGTTGCACAATTGGTTCCTGCTGGGTTAGTTCGCTCCCAGAGATCCCTGTGGCTGATCTTTCCTGGCCAGGCATCTGATCTTGAGTAGTATTGAACGAAGACAGCTGTTGATGAAGGTCTGTAGTTTGCTCTAAGTGTCCTTCGTGACGAGCCAACTCTCTGATCCGTATAGTAGCAGTGACATCAGGTCGGAGTTGAAAATCTGGATCTTCTTTTTCATGCCGAGTGCTGTTGACCTCGACACAGACTTAAGGGAAATGAAAGCTTGTATTGCTCTCCCGAAACGCATTTTGACATCCTCATCAGTTCCGTCCGCCTGTAGTTGAAACGATGCTTCCCAGGTAGGTGAAGAACATTGCTTCTTTTAGATTCCTCCCATTTATGATGATTATTATTGTTGCAGTTGGCCAGGAAGCTTCACCAACTCTGTTTTCTCTATGTTCACCTGAAGTCCTATCTTCTCTGGATGCTTCTTCCATCGCCAACTTGTTGCATTTCGCTTGCGTATCTTTCAGTTTGTGAGGAATCAGATATATATCATCAACGAAGTCTAGATCCTCTAAGTTTTTTGTGTGGGTCCATTTTATGCCTGTCTCATTATCCAATCTACCGCGAGCAGAAAAATCATTGGAGATAGTAGGCAGCCAGCCTTGTCTTACTCCCGTCTTTACTTCGAAGGATTCCGTGAGTTTCCCGTTGTGGATAACTTGGCATGTAGCATTATCGAATAACTGTTGGATGAGGCATATAAATGTTGGTGGCACCCCGTAGTAGCGAAGTAGTTGCCAAATCACCTCTCTATCGACGCTGTTGAAAGCCTTTTCAAAGTCAATGAAGCTGAGATAGAGAGGTGACTGCCATTCCAAGCTCTGTTCAATGATGATACGTAGTGTTGCAATTTGATCGATGCATGACTTGTTTCTCCTGAATCCAGCCTGTTCCGGTCGAAGTTTTTCATCCAGGGCGTGTTTGATTATCTCCAGGATGATGCGGCTTAGCATTTTGCTTGGGATGGACAGGAGCCTATCGCCGCGCCAGTTCTTGCATTGATTTAATTCTACTCTCTTTGGTAGTTTGAATAGGCAGCCTTTCCTCCAATCTGCAGCTACCTTGCCCTCTTTCCACACTTTCTCCAGTAGTGATGTCATCAAGTCTATTGATGTCTCTGGGTCCATTTTCAATGATTCTGCGAAGACTAAGAAGGTGACATTGTCTTATGCATGAAACTAAATCAATAGTTTGTCGATCTAAGTTTAAACAATACTAAAGCTGTCTTCTCATACGTTAATCACATAGCCAACCAATCAGACTTTACCACACTGATGGACACCTACGCAGTAATCAGATAACAACCAATTCGATTTCAGCCCAGTGTTAGCCGCTCACTAATTGGCCCATAGTTGCAGTGTATAATTAGTCAAGGATAGTTTTTTTGTATATGTGAGTCATCTTGGAATTAGAAGTTCGAAGTTAGAGAAATTAACCTTCATTATTGTTAATCCCAGTCGTGTAAATATTCAGCAAGCATAAGGAACTAGCCCTACATATTAATTTTTAGTAGTGTACAAGATATTCAAAAATCATTTCGCTGTCAAAAGCGTAATAATCTATCTAGAAGTAAATTGAGATTGACAAATTGGATTAGATGGCGCAATGTAGGTAGGGAAACTTTGTAATGCAATGATAACTATATATTACATCATCTTACACTTCTGACTTTTACACTTTTGAACTTCACTCAACTCTTTTAACTATTTGTATTACATAATCCAACCAATTTAGTTAAATCAGTGGAATTTAGTTGGAATTTATGTTCAATCGACTTAGCTGAGTATTACTTAGCATAGTTCGATCAATGTCATCTGAACAATACGTTTATATAGGATCAGTTTGGTGAAGAGACAGCGGTGGTAAAACCAAAACATGGCTTCATCAGTCAATGGAATCCACAACAGTTAGTTTAAGCCAGGCAACCACGTAGGGAAGTGTAGTCTGTCTGTTTTCGGGATAGAACTTTGCAACAATGTGCAGTAGTTCAATTCGCCACATTCCATGTAGCATACAAAGCAAGAGAAGAAATACATAATAGAGACAGTAGACGGGGATATGAGACAAAGCAATAGTAATAAAGAAAAACAATATAGTTTCATTGGAAAAATAAGTCGCAAGGAGTGGATGCATTTGCGCCAGCCATTGACAACGATTTTGAGCCATATCACCGATTGTCTCCAGCCATTGGTGATTACAGTCCTGTGGGCCCCAACCAGGAAGTTTACACCTTCCTGCGTGGCTGGCTGGCTTAAACTAACTATTGTGGATTTCATTGACTGATGAAGCCATGTCTTGGTTTGTCCACCACTAGCTAGCTCTTTTCCAACCTGATCCATCCTATGTCAGCTAACATTGTCTGTCGGTCGTGGAAGGCGATGGAAAGGCCATCACGCACTACACATGTCCTAACCATCTCAGTCGATGTAACTTCACAGCCTCGTCTATTGATTTCCCCTCCTTACCTAGCACTCAACTAAAGCCTAACCTCAATATTGCTTACCCAATTATACCATCTCACACGGAATATAGAACTCAGGCACATATGATCAAAGACAGCTAGTCTTTTCATGTCTTCCACTTCTAAATTAGGAGTCAGTGTAGTCGAGTCCTGTAGCCTCCTCATCTTACATTTGGCGGGAGCCAATCGCCTGCGAAAGATTTCCAAATTGCAGCACAAGGTGTTAAGAAGGCTGCATTTCGTCAGCGTCTTCACCTAGAAGGATTGTATCATCTGCATATTCTAAGTCAACGAGACTATTCCCTGGTAGCAATTCAATCCCTGAGTCGCTGAAGTGAGTTAGGGTTAAGTCCATTAGTACATCTATGATGAAATTGAATAGAAAAGATTGTTGTGGGCATCCCGGTCGGACACCACTAGTTGTCACTAGTTCAGATGCCAGGGAAGTGTAGACTTTCTGATAAGTTGCACTCCTCGGGATAATAAAAAACAATGTCTGGAGACAACCGGTGATGTGGCCAGAAATCGTTGTCAATGGCTGGCGCAGATGCATCCACTCTTTGTGATTTATAATATCCAATAAAATTCGATTGTTCTTCCATATAATCAGATGGTGATAACGAAGTAGAACTGAGTAAACCTCTTGCATAAAGCTCTATATGTTAAAGTGTGTAGCTACCGAATCATTTAAGCGGGCCGTCATGCATTCATACCACGTGTGTACAAGACAAAAATACACACTATTTAGCAACAGAGCTAGAATAATCTTACAGTTAAGGGGTTTTAGTTATAATACAATGCATCTAGCTGGTTAAATGGTAGAATGCTGGCCAGCTACGCACGTGGTCCAGGGCTCGACCCCCGGCTGTGATGCCTCTAGTTAACTAACCGGTATTAAACCTAGAAAAGAGGGGAGATTAGGTGTGGGACTACCAATCCCACCTAGTGGAAACGACAATACTAATGAAAATTTGAAAACCTTGAACCCTAAGTTCCACTTGAAATTCGAGGGAATTAGAAAAGGTTATGATGACTATTACAGGCAGTAGGTTATACATAACCATATTGTGATTAACTGATGACTTATTGAACAGATTCTAGATGAAATGCTACAACGTCTCACTAACCATAGGTGTCAAACATGAAGTTAACCTTCTACATTGTTTTATTTATTTGGAATTTCTTACACACACACACTGAAACAGTACTATTGCTACTATTCACTGGATGATGATTTCACGAACACAACATGTTGTTGTAGCTATCTGGACAATTTCGATACTCAGTTTTTATAGTTCTCGTTCTGCTTTCCCACTAGTTATAAGGGGAGTAAAATCTCCCAAATGTCCAAGACAGTTGTTGAATCGTTCCTGTTACATGCATTCTCAGTTAATTCGACAAAAATAAGGCTTCCGTTATCATTGCCTCCCACCACTCCGTTATCTCCGATTTTAAGACTGTCAAAATTTGTCCTATTCTATGCTTGTAGCTGTATAAGATATGCTATACAGGTCAGCTACTTTCCGCCATTTGCCATCATGTCTCTCCCTCCCTCTTCGTATTTCTCCAATAACTAGAAAGCACTGAACGACAGCTCTTTTGTTTTAGCCGAGGACTATCCAGCAATGACTTCACCAAAGATCGAGACCAAAATCTTCGAGCTACAATCATTCGGCCACTGGGTCGAAATTCAATAACCTGTGAATAATAACTTCGATCTCCTGTGGGGTTTTCAATAACCCTCTTATCAATACATCGGTTCGTGACCAAATCTCCATTGAAATTACTCCAAGAATCATATAATCCGAATACGCCAGATATAGCTGTGGAGCCAACTACATCGGGCGTTTATCATCGTATTTCCGAACGTCATCCAGCATGATTAAGCAAGGGACAAACAAGATCTATTCGTAGTTCTATTTTAGCACACCTTGTAGATAGCCAGCATAATACAGCATTTAAAATTATTTATCGCATCCCTACTAACCTTAATTCTGCTTTACGAGTTCGTCTTCTACATACCTACAGCTGAAACCATAGGAATCCACCTGAAGATGCCAAACTTGTGTGTGTTCAGAAGAAATTTGTACAGCCACTTTCCTTACCTTGGAAATCGTTACATGAATGAATGTGTAAACCGGACTACTTCGTCCCCTCCCCCTAAATCCTTTAAAATTGTAATTTTCCCCACTACTTCATCTTTAATTACGTGTTACCCTTGTAAAATTATTTTATTCTTATGACCACTTCACCCTTAGTTACAAGTTATCATTGTCCAGGTCTTTTTATTCTCTTTAACAATCTGTTACGTAATCAACCTGTGCACACGCTTATTCCTTAATTACTACTCCTCATTTTTCCAAAATTCTGCATTACGCCATCCATGTATTGCAACCATTTCTACCTTTGAATTGTGTGTGTATTAATTTTCTTCGCTAATTCTTATCACCCCATTGACATGTTGACACTGACTAATTATTGTTAACAAACATATCTGTGCAACTTGATTGGTAAATTGTTGTGTATTGTAATAAAAAATGCTATACATGTATATCAGAGTACAGCCAGAGATGAACATCTAATTGGAAAGTAAATATTTCTTCTCTGCTCAATCGTTTTGCTTTATAAACAAAAAAGGTCTATTTATAATATTTTAAAAAATCAAACAATTCTGTACACAAAAGTTAACATCAAAATTATCAGATGAAGTGAATGTATGTACAGAGAATAACCATTAAAAAATTAGAGAAAATGTCATAAATATCATTCTTTAATTCTTACTACTTAAATTAACATCAGTAGTAAAGTCAGTCAAAACCTTCAGCTCTCTCTCTCTTTCCATTTGTCTTTCATTAAAACCATAAATAAAGTTGGTCAAAAGAGGAAGAAAAAAATCTCAATGAAGCATTTTATAGGCTAATTGTTCAATTTCATCATGTAATACATTCAGATCCAGTGAACGCAGAGCTGGTAGTAATTGTGTATGGATCACCGAGGCTACACAGGACTAAAAAAATAGTAGAAAAAAACAAATAATCACAGTAAACAACACGTGAGGAAGATTGAAACAGTAGTCTGGAAAAAATTAATACACCCAGAGGAATTTACAGTCTAAGGAAAGTAACAGTTTGCACTATCGATGAAGTTACCATTTGATGATATTAGGTGATTGGAGGCAATCGGCCACAGGAAGCCCTATTTGACCTAGGTTTCGTGCTAGTTGGTACTCACCAGTCGGTCAGCAGGGCATATCTGCAACCTTGTAGGAACTCCTGTCCCTTATGAGATTCGAACCCGCGTCACCCAGTGCTGAAGTTAGAGACAGAAGTTAGCACTAAGCTACTCGGGCTCGCTATTACCTCCTGTAGGACTGTAGTGGATACTTTGATTGGACTAGTGCGACGTGTCTAGTCCTTTCTTTTGGCGCAGACTGAATTCTATCAGTCATGTTTGCCACTAGCACGAAACCTAGGTCCAAGGCTTCCTGTGGCCGATCGCCTCCAACCATCTAATATCATCAAATCAATGTACACCGTGATGGTGAGCTGCCTAGAATGGTGGCCACATTGCAAACCTGACTGACAGAAGTCAGTCTGCACCAAAGAAAGGACTAAACACATCACACTAGTTACTAGTGTCTGATCACAGACGATAGCATTTATCAGACTCCTCCCCCTTATTTTATCTTTGAAAATCACTTCTGCATTGATTATTTCACACACGTGCCGTTGGTTCTTTGCATCTCTATAAGACGCCATCCAATTAGTCTCCACTTCCTTAAATGGTTGGCTCGGACCAACAGTCAACGAATTCATGGATTGCTGCCACCTTTTGATTTGGCTACACTTAACTTTTTTCCAAACTAATCCTATGTCATCAAAAATGCTTATCAATGAAGGCGGTGGATGTGTAAGACATCTTAGCTACCTCAATAGACGCTGTAGGTGATTTTCTCTGCTTACCACCTAACACACACTCGACACCTAACCTCAAAATTACTCACCACATTATACTGGTGAAAAACACGACATAACAACACTGTTTCGCTGTTGTTTTTGTCGAAATAAAATCTTTGAAATATTCTCGAATTACCGTCCGTCTAGATAACCTCTTACTGCACGTTAAAGTGTTGAAGATGTCTTCTATGGAACCACTGAGATCGGGGAACACAGTCACATTAAAAAGCATCCATTCGATCAAACAGATCTTATCACCTCCATTTCAAAAGAGCTCTAACCACTGATAATCATTGAGCTGATCACGAACAAAAAATTGTGTTCAAAATGTTATCCAGTAAATAACACTGATTCAGTGTGTGATATATCTAATATTCAAGTGTTGGTTACCAGGGTCTTGATTGGTTTCAGGATTGATCACGAGCTGACATTATCAGTTGGAGAACCATTGGGAAGCCTACTACTGGGCAGCTGTTTCGTCCCAGTTCGGAGCTTCTCAACGGTGTGCACCCGGTTCGAACCCAGATCCTTCTGGTTATGAGGCGAGATTATAGACCATTCAGCCCCTGGGAGATAACTTAATTACCCATGAATTCCAAGTTCTGCCGATTCATGAGTATGGATGAAGAGTCCCAAACCGGGACGAAACGGCTGTCCAGGACTCCCAAGCTTTCCAATGGTCCTCTAACTGATGTAACATATATCTAATAGAAAAATCACCATGTAGCTTCAATCACTGATGATCAACATGTTAGCGGTTGTTGTAAACAAGTCCATGAGCTACCCAAAACTATTTCGATCTACGGTTAACCTTGTTTTCTCAGGCTTATTCACGTCTGTTTCAGCTAAAACTGAACTCTATAAAATAGAATTAATCTACACCTCGCTAGTGACTGATCACAGGATGAAACTGCCTGAAGTTCTAGGGAAAAATTGTGACCAGTGAGGTGTGTATAATCAAACATCGGTTGGTGTCGCGGCGCTATATATCACGAATTTATGAACCATGTGAATCTATCCTAACGGCGGGATGGTCAACTAGCTCACCTGTTAACCTGAAGGTCTTGAGTTTGACCCCATTGTGATGGGGTGTAATTATGGGTGCGTGCTGATGAAGAGTCCCAAAGTGGGATGAATCAGATGTCCAGCACTCTCTGATTTACAACGGTTCTCTCTCTCTAAGTCTACAAAAACACAAAGAACTTAACACCAACAAGAAGATACTCTGCATTAGAATTATGTAAAACAAACAGAAACAAAAACTTAGCCTACCTTTTGAACACTTTCATTAAATATATGCCCAATCGGATTTAATGATTGACAACCACTATTATTATTATCATTCTTTTCTGTAATCATTCTTTGAAGTAGTGTATTATGCAATACTGTACTGAAATAAATTTTCAAAGCTGAATTTCGAATCTTTTCATCGCCATCATCATTATCATCATTCTGATGAGTAGTAGATGATCCAAGATTTTGATAAGATGATGCAGCATTACAGCTGGATGGCGCAATCGATTTATTGTTATTATGATGACACATCGTTGATCGATTTTTTGACGATGAAGAACAACACATTATTAAATATGATATACAAGTAGAACAGACGTGTAATTCATGCAGTAGAAATGGCCAATCAAGAAGGATAAGAGAATGATGAAACAACGGTTCAACACAGGAGAACAGTAGGGCTGTGTTAGAAAAAAAGACCAACAAAAGAGTATACATAAGTTTGTGTATCTGGGTAGTTGTGTGAGTGCTGGTGGAGGCGTGATGGATGAGGTTTTCAAACGTATCATGAAAGATAGGGTGGCGTCGTCAACCTGGCTGTCAAAAGTCGGGTATACAATGCTTCAGTGAGTGTTGTTTCGCTCTATCCCTGTGAAACCTGACCTCTTCTACCTGAGGATGTGTGACAACTCTGCGTATTAAATCATCGCTGTCTCCACACTATTACTTGTGTTCGACGGCATCATCGTGTGAGTAATTTTTTTTTTAATAATGATAATAATAATTTGCTTTATTCCAGAAACAGTACTAGTGGTACAGTGTGAAATTTTCAGCACATATCTACAATATTTGCATCTAATTTTACAGACATTTAAAATAAGTATTAAACAAGCAAGAAAAATAAATCTGGACACACCAACAGCAAAAAAACAGGATAAACACAAAATAATTATAAATGCGAAAAAGTACAAAAGTCTACCAAAGTCTAATGCAGTGTTTGTGGTGGTAGTGTGAGTAATCCTGCATAATAAAAAACTTTTTAAGGTGGTGACTATGGCGTTCACAACCAATGATTGTCAGTTTAATATTGCCGAAAAGTATAGAAAATAAGAAAAAAAAGGCCGCAAAACTAATATTACATGATGGTCAATGACAGGATAATTTTGTAATACTCATAGTGCTAATAGAGTCGGAACCAGTGGATACACAATAGAAGGAATATAGTAAAGTACAAAAAAGTAAGCCAATGTTAATATTTTAGGTAGCTAAGTATGTTTGAGGAGTTCACTAAAGAATAAAACATAAGAGAGAAATAAAAAAGCCTAAAATTATGTTGTTAATAACAGAGCAAGTCATAGGTTTCACGCTTAACATTGTCTCTGTCACTTAGAACACGGGCCAAGTATGGTATCGTTGAGTTCCTGTACTTGGTTGTACGAGCATAGATTATTTTATACTGATTTCTGGTTTTACTTGATGAGATACGAGGCAAGAGTTGGGAATAGAGGGGGTGTTGCGGGTCGGAGAGTATGGTTTTTGACCATTTTTCGCATGTATTCAGATGCCTATCAACTAAAGTAGTGACGAGCTGACTGAGTTTTACACCACTAGTCCTACTGACTACCTTCAACATCCTTCTCAGGATGGCATAGTCCTTTTTCAGTAGACCAGGAAAGACTAACGGGGAGCAGTAAAGTAGAATAGGTAAGATACAAGACTTGACAAATTGTGAAAGTATAGGTTGGGTGATTCCAGATTGTCTAAGTTTCTTAATGTAGTAGGTAAGACAGAACACTTTCTTAGAAATCATTAAGATATGAGATGTCCAAGTAAGGTCGGAAGATAGAACTAGACCGAGGTATTTAGCATTAGACTTAGTTTCAATTTTAGTCCCCTCAATGCAACAGTTTTCATAAGAACTTACTAGTGTTTGTAGATCGCGTTTATGCCTAAGTGAGAAGTCAATAGTCTGGCATTTTGAGGGATTCAGCATGAGACCATTTAGTTTGGACCACTCACTGATGTCCGACAGGAAGCTATTTAATTTGAAAGTCTGACTGAGACTTAATGGGAAACGATACAGACAGGTCATCTGCATATTTGACGAAGTTGATTTCATCTGAGAGAGGTAAATCATGTAAGAAGAAGGAAAAGAGAAACGGAGAACTCCAGCTTCAGTAAGCAAAGGAGAGGAAGATACACCATTATATACAGTGTACTGCATCCTATTAGAGAAGTAAGAGTGTAGCCAGTTGATAGCCCAGGGCTCAGTTTGTGTTAGGCTAAGCTTGTTTAACAATAGGCCTCTAGGTACAAAGTCGAGAGCAGATGTATAGTCAAGGAACGTACAACGGAAAAACTTGGCCCCTTTGTCTAAGGAGGATACAATGTTGTGATGAAATACAGCAGCAGCGTCCAAAGTACTTTTACCCTGTTTGTAAGCAAACTGCCTTGGATCGTTTGAGAAACTTAGGGAGGGAACAAGTTTTAGTAACAATAGTTTCTCCATTAGTTTCAAAAAAGGAGAGGTAATAGCGATAGGTCTAAACTAATTTCTGCGGTTCGGCGGCGTGTGTCTGGATACGGTGAAAAATTACCATTCGCTGAGTGTCATCATCTGGAAAAACAGGCTTCGATGGCTTGGACATGTGCTGCGAATGTCATCCCAGGGGGCTTCCGTACCAGAGGTCTCTGCTCGCTAACCAGCCCTGGGATGGGCCGGAAAAAGCGGAGAGGTGGTCGGTCAGCCCATCCCATGTCGTGGCGTCGAGAGACGGAGGAGGATATCTCTCCCTGACCTAAAATTTAATCTTTCCCTCACCTATTCAATATTCTTACACTTCTTTCAAACCTTTCTTACTGAATATGGTGACATTTCACTGGTTTTTATTGCCTTGATCTGGTTGGATGTCGCATGATCATTGGTGAATTCGTTTGTTTGGGTGTCTATTCCTTAACTTATCCAAGATAATTATACCATGATAGACTACTGTGTTATATCACTACAACTGTTAAACAGTCCACCCTCTAATAGACAGAATAGGATTCGAACTCATGATCACAGCAGTTGAAATTCCAATATGCCAAGTTTGACTGTTAAAGTTACCAGTCAACCTTTTGTGAGATATACTAACCCAAAGTCTCTGGTTCTACAGTAAAGTGCTCACCAGTCAAGCACAAGATTCAAGTTCAATTCCTGGTCGACACAATGCTAAGCCTCACCACCTAACCCATAGTAAGCCTAGAAAAGACAGAAAGTTTGGACATGAGATTATCAACCAACTCCACTCCACCCCAATCCGTAAAATAAAACACTACGAGTGTTACTGAAATTTCAATAGCTTGAAGCAGGGAAATTGAAAACAATGAGTTCTCCTTATGAATTTAGACAAAGCAATAAGAAGACGTAATTTGTCTGAATCGTGTAATGTATTTGTGCAAAACACTTCGAACAATCTGATCACACACAGACTTGTCATGGGAATATATTTGAAATTAATAAAGAGGTGAAAGGTGAGAAAATAGACTAATTAGGTCAATTTAAAAGGACATATTCAAGGTCAAAATAACAATGAAGACCACTAAACCAACTAGCAGAGGTAATAGTACATCTGCTATGGTATCAAAACAAAATTTACTAAGGAAGGTTTAATGTGACGAATTTTTTGAACGCATAGAGGTGGTTTGAACTTTCTAATTGCTAGCGCTTCCACAAACTTTAGGACACGCCCCAAACACGTTTTATAGATAGGTTTAAAAGATCTGTAAACGTCAATTTTACGTCCTGTCTCTATAAAATTTGTTTCGCAAGAGAGGAGCTAGGTCGCCGCCTTTTCTCACCATTAATGAGTTCTGGAGATTCTATTTGCTTCTGAAGTCATTTACGAATATGCTGTGAAACTAGCCCTCACTTGCAGAGATCAATGAGTCCTCCCTATGTATGTGTGTCCACACGTACATTCAAATTGGTAAATACAGTGGGATGTGACGTTATTTTTCGTATGTTCGAAGGGCTTAGATGTACGGATATATTGGCTTCACCTCCTTAATTATTATGATATTAGCTACATAAAGTCTTTTTAACAGCAGCGTTCAATCTTTGTCTGCTATGATGTCTCATATAGGATAGCTTGATGTACACATCTTTCTCAGGGGCGAGTTGTAGACTGGGCCTTGGTTTTCTGACTACTTTACATCTCCTGATGAACTTATCTGGATAATTGTTATCAATCACAGTTTGTGTCAACTTTCTTTCTTCTTCATCAAGTGTGTCTTCAGTGCACATTTGTTGAATTCTACTGAAGAGGCACCTTACTAAGGCTCTTTTGTACTGAACAGGGCAGACCCTGTGGTAATTAAGATACTGTCCTGTCCGGGTAGATTTTCAATAAATAGATCTTTCATTGACCCATCAAGCCATCGACTAAGTAATATGTCTAGGAAAGATGAACAATTATATAGAAATTACATTATCACGCGACAAATAGGCGAATTGATTCAACTTACATTTTGCATAATTTAATTGAGGATATGCCTTCAAAATATTACAAGATGGAAAGTAATAGTGATTTTGATCAGACAGCAGATGATAATTATCGCGTTCATGATGGTTAGTATTCAATGATTTCATCAAAGATGGATCATTTATATACAGTAAACTACACTTTCTATTGGAATCGATGCTGCAGCACAGAAGGCCTTGCTGCTTATCTCCATCTCCGTTATCACCATCACTATTGCACTCGACAATTTCCCGATGAATACGATTAGCCAGATTCCATAAATTTAAACGTTGTAATGCTGGAATCAATTGTTCTATAACCAATTTTCGAATAAATTGCTTGAATTTATGCATAAAGAAATGTCAGAAAACAAAAGAAAGAATCCTCGTTAGTATTCAAGTGGGAATTTAAAATCTGAGAGTGAGAGAGACAGAGAGAGAAAAGGATACTGTCCTTACGTTACCTGTAACTATTTTCTATGCTGACTAACTGACTGGTTTCAACGAAAAACTTTGCACAGACGTGCAGCAGTCCGAGTTGCCACTCTCCCTCCATTTTTCACATAAAGCAAGCCAAAAGAGAGTAAAAAGAGATTCAAAAGACAGATAATAAACAGAAATATGAGGCAAAAAGACTAATGTTAATATGGTAGAGCAATAGAATTTTATTGGATATGATAAATCACAAAGAGTGAATGCATCTGCGCTACTCACTGACAACGATTTTCAGCCATACCACCAGTTGTCTCCAGTTATTGGTTCTTGGTGCCCCGAGGACTTCAACTAGGCAGTCTACACCACCCTAAGTGACTGGCTCAAACTAACTGAGGTTAAAGAAAACCTGGACTGATTCCATGTTTTGGTTTGACCACCACCACCACCACTGGCTCTTTTCCAACCTGATCCATCCTACGTCAGTCAGCTAACATCGCCCGTCGGCCGAGGAAGTTGATGGCTAGGCATGCGCACGTGTAATGCATGTCCTAACCATTTCAATCGGTGTAACTTCACAACCTTGTCAATTGACTTCCCCCTGCTTACCTAACACTCGACTGACGCCTAACCTCAATACTGATAACCTTATTATACCACTAAATACGGGAGACAGAACCCAGACACCTATGCTGCCTATGCATAGACTCCATCTATATGGGTTTCCAAGCGGTTGGTAATCAGTCAACAGACCTATTGTGTGTTTGATAGCAAAACACGGGAGTATTTGATACACATAAGGTAAAATACAGAAACTTTAAGCTGCAATCGCGATATGCATGCATGTTCTCTTAATTGAAATTCTCTTGTCTTCCCTTCATTTTCTCTATATTAGGAAGAAAAAGGGAGAATAGGTCATGTCCATAGTCATTATTTAAAATTTTAAATATAATAATGAAATCTCCTCCTTTCCTACGGTATGACAGTCAGAAAAGATTTAAACTGTTTAGTCTTTTCTCGTATGATAACTTTTTCATACCAAGAATCATACGTGTTAAGTTGCTTCGAAGCCATTCTAGAATATGAGTGCTAGTTGCCTGGAAACAGTTTTTCAGTCTTGACCCAATCAGAGATGTATATTAAGATGTGAACATATCTCTGGTGTTTATAGTAAAGCCTCTGCAAATTAGAATACGAGATAAAAATGCAACTAAATTACCCAATCATGTGACTGTGTATTTATACTCAGACGCATGTGCAGGCGTGCAACTGTGATAGTGGTCGGTGGTGGTGTGAGAGACAAGACGGTTACTACAGAAAAATAACTCAACAACAAATGGAACAAACCATACGTAAATTCAACAGCGACGACCAACCCCAATCACAATGAAATCATCACGTTCATTTCCTGTAGATATGCGAAAAACTATTAGTCAAAAATTATACTAAACTGAAAAAATTACACCATTTTATAAATCAGAATGAGGCATTTCGAAAAATTTAGCCAGACAATATCACCTCCCAGTTTCTCTACTATACCCTTAAAACTAGCATAGTTCATAATAATAAAATGAAATACATGACAATTACTCAGCTACACAAAACAAAAGCAAACACTAATGACCAATCATATTTTGAAATAGGTCAAGAAGTCAGTTCATGGTAAGCGAGAAGGTTGAAGTCTATTGTTTTTTATACACATAGTTTACGATGTATGTGATTAATCCCCAAAGTATTTCCATCACCTTTAATAACGAACCTTCAATTAGAATTATGTGAAATAATTGTGAAGCAGTCATTCATTTTCATTTTGTGATATGACATTAATAAGTGCTTTGCAATGGATGATGATGGGTGTATATTCAGATTAATTGCATTGGGATTTTCTATATGTTTTAATAACCATTTTGGAACACGTTCTTTTCGACGACCACATTCAAACATTCTATTGGTTCTACCTACATAGATGTCACCGCAGCTGCAGGTGAACTTGTGGATACAGTTTGAAGTAGAGTTCACAGAATTTCGTCCTTTAATCATAGGTAAAGGGATCGAGAATGTTCGAGATGTGAGGGAAAGAGATGCGGTGTAGAATGTGTGCGTTTAATGGCTGTTCGAAGTCTTTGAGCTAGCTGTCAACTGCATAATTTAATCACCCTTGAATAATGGCAGGTTAGTAAAGGTAGCTTTCTTTGGTACAGAAGCTGTTTTTTCAGGATGTGGTCTATCCTTGGTGTGACAACTGATAAAGTTTCCTGGATAACCATTAGCTAATAGAACCGAATGTTTGTGTCGAAACTCATCCATCAATGTGTCGCTCATGCTTATTTCGCGGGCCTTTATGAACAAATATTTCACTAGGGAACGTTTATACTGGATAGGAATAAAACTGGTGAAATGAAGATATTATCCACTCCATGTCTGCTTACGAAGTGTCGATTCCTCAATCGTTACATCGTCTCTCCTAGTCATTGTAATATCCAGGAAACCGAGTTCGTTATTCGATTCGAGTTCGGAAGTTACTCGGACATTTGGATGAATATGGTTAAATAGAGTAATAAAGTTTCCAATAAACTTACTATTATTACCAGTAATGAATGCATCATCCACATAACGTTTATATAGTAGAAATTTTCCTAGCATACCTTGCATTTGTTTCTCCAATTTAGACATGAGTATATCTGCTAACAGGGGCGCAAGAGGACTCCCCTTCGCAACAGTGTCTATTTGTTTGTATACCTTTTCTTGGAAGGTGAATCTGATATTTTCTGTACGCATTAAGATGATGTATCTGATGTAAATGATAGGAATAGGTAAGTTTATCCCATTGCTTTTGATGCAATCGCAAAGGAAATCAACAGTTTCATGAAGCGGAACATTGGTGAATAAAGATTCTATGTCGATTGAGCACATAACCTTTCCCTTAATGTTCAGTGTTTAGCATATTAGTCAGATCGAATGAACTTTTCATAGAACGATTTGATGAAAGGTTCTCTTACAGGCGTAAGGGCCTCTGTAATCCATTTAGCGATTTTATGATATGGAGAATTCGACACATCTAAGATGGGTCTCAGTGGGTTCCCAGTTTTGTGGATCTTTGGAGTGTGTGATCCAATAGCTATAAGTTGTTTATAAAGTTTCATTTATAAAACTGCATCAGCGAAATCTGAAGCTGACGATTAATCTGTTTTCCCACGAGCAGCACATTATCAGCAGTATTATCCACCAGAAATTTGGACTGATCTTTGAGGATTTCATTAATTTTATTTTGATAATCTGATTTATTCATGATGACAACGCCTTTTCCTTTGTCCGGTTTAAGGATAAGATTATCTTTTTCGATTAATTCCTTAAGTGTGGTGTGGTGTTCTTTTGATAAACCATTTTTCGGCAACTCTAAAGAATAGCAGCCCAAACCAAAATGACCTAGCGAACGCAAAAACGACCTTGAGCAACCAATCAGGTGACTCTGTTTTTTCCAGAGGTAATTATGGATGCTCGACACCTTTTGCGTTGTAAATTTGCTCCGGATCTTGTTTTTGATTACTGTTTGGATAACGGACTGATTGCAAGGTCGAAAAATTGTCAATGCGGAGGTGATATGCGTATACAAAAATACACAAACTGCATTGATGGGTTTGTGCACAGGTGTAATGAGTGTCGAAGGAGAAAATCAGTTCGAGAGGGTATGTCGTTCTTTTTTAGTTTACAGATTCCTTAGGTACTTTTTTCTCAAAGTCTAATTTACCCTAAACAAAAATTTTAATGATCTGTAGTTTCTGGATACTAAACAGACCAGTTACAGCAACGGCTTATGAAACGGAAAATTCAGAAGTGTCTGCAGTGCAGTGGTACCACTACTGCAGAGACGTATCGTCCTGGAAAATGAACAGGCTAACTCAAGTTCTTGGAGGAGTTGGCGTAATCGTTCAAATTGATGAGACCGTATTAATAAAAAGGAAATATAATCGCGGCAGATTACGAGCAAACCAGCAATGGATATTGGGTATCTATGACACCACCCTCCGAAAAGGATATATTGAGGCGATTCCTAATCGCACTGCAGGTGTATTATTACCTATTATCCAGCGCTTAGTGCCGCCTGGGACCACTATTCACACAGACGAATGGAGTAGTTGCGGTCAATTGTCGAATCTCGGGTATATTCATCATGTAGTCAACTACACAAACGGTTTTTGCAATCCTTTGGATGGAACTCATACTAATTCCATCGAAAGTTCCTGGAGTCACCTAAAAAACGGATTAGATTGGTGAATGGATCAAGAAATCCAATGATATACAGTTATCTGGATGAGTTTATGTACAGAACTTGGTTTAACATGAGTATGAAGACTCCATGAGAAATTGGGAGCTTTTTTGCAACATATACGAGAACGTTATCCTTTGTAACTATTTTTTAACATTGCATTACTTTTATATAAACGATTTTTTACAATTATGTGCCGTTTTTTGAGCCTTCTGATTGGTCGAAGTTGTCCTTGACAAGGTCATTTGTGCGTTCGCTAGGTCGTTTCCGTTTGGGCTGCTATTCTTTAGAGTTGCCCATTTTTCTAATGTATTCTGGCATTTAGAAATTGGTGAGAAATGTCCACTGGTTTAACTTCAAACCAGTCCAATTTATCATTACTAGAGAGGGTTGAATCAGAGATCCGTCCATACAGGTTTTCATACTGTGTTTGGACTTCCACTTTGTTTATTTTCAGAGGGACAGTTTTGTATTTCAATCCGTACGACAAGGCTCAAAAAACGGCACCTAATTGTAAAAAATCGTTTATATAAAAGTAATGCAATGTTAAAAAATAGTTACAAAGGATAACGTTCTCGTATATGTTGCAAAAAAGCTCCCAATTTCTCAGGAATCTTCATACTCATGTTGAACCAAGTTCTGTACATAAACTCATCCAGATAACTGTATATCATTGGATTTCTTGATCCATTCACCAATCTAATCCGTTTTTTAGGTGACTCCAGGAACTTTCGATGGAATTAGTATGAGTTCCATCCAAAGGATTGCAAAAACCGTTTGTGTAGTTGACTACATGATGAATATACCCGAGATTCGACAATTGACCGCAACTACTCCATTCGTCTGTGTGAATAGTGGTCCCAGGCGGCACTAAGCGCTGGATAATAGGTAATAATACACCTGCAGTGCGATTAGGAATCGCCTCAATATATCCTTTTCGGAGGGTGGTGTCATAGATACCCAATATCCATTGCTGGTTTGCTCGTAATCTGCCGCGATTATATTTCCTTTTTATTAATACGGTCTCATCAATTTGAACGATTACGCCAACTCCTCTAAGAACTTGAGTTAGCCTGTTCATTTTCCAGGACGATACGTCTCTGCAGTAGTGGTACCACTGCACTGCAGACACTTCTGAATTTTCCGTTTCATAAGCCGTTGCTGTAACTGGTCTGTTTAGTATCCAGAAACTACAGATCATTAAAATTTTTGTTTAGGGTAAATTAGACTTTGAGAAAAAAGTACCTAAGGAGTCTGTAAACTAAAAAAGAACGACATACCCTCTCGAACTGATTTTCTCCTTCGACACTCATTACACCTGTGCACAAACCCATCAATGCAGTTTGTGTATTTTTGTATACGCATATCACCTCCGCATTGACAATTTTTCGACCTTGCAATCAGTCCGTTATCCAAACAGTAATCAAAAACAAGATCCGGAGCAAATTTACAACGCAAAAGGCGTCGAGCATCCATAATTACCTCTGGAAGAAACAGAGTCACCTGATTGGTTGCTCAAGGTCGTTTTTGCGTTCGCTAGGTCATTTTGGTTTGGGCTGCTATTCTTTAGAGTTGCCGAAAAATGGTTTATCAAAAGAACACCACACCACACTTAAGGAATTAATCGAAAAAGATAATCTTATCCTTAAACCGGACAAAGGAAAAGGCGTTGTCATCATGAATAAATCAGATTATCAAAATAAAATTAATGAAATCCTCAAAGATCAGTCCAAATTTCTGGTGGATAATACTGCTGATAATGTGCTGCTCGTGGGAAAACAGATTAATCGTCAGCTTCAGATTTCGCTGATGCAGTTTTATAAATGAAACTTTATAAACAACTTATAGCTATTGGATCACACACTCCAAAGATCCACAAAACTGGGAACCCACTGAGACCCATCTTAGATGTGTCGAATTCTCCATATCATAAAATCGCTAAATGGATTACAGAGGCCCTTACGCCTGTAAGAGAACCTTTCATCAAATCGTTCTATGAAAAGTTCATTCGATCTGACTAATATGCTAAACACTGAACATTAAGGGAAAGGTTATGTGCTCAATCGACATAGAATCTTTATTCACCAATGTTCCGCTTCATGAAACTGTTGATTTCCTTTGCGATTGCATCAAAAGCAATGGGATAAACTTACCTATTCCTATCATTTACATCAGATACATCATCTTAATGCGTACAGAAAATATCAGATTCACCTTCCAAGAAAAGGTATACAAACAAATAGACACTGTTGCGAAGGGGAGTCCTCTTGCGCCCCTGTTAGCAGATATACTCATGTCTAAATTGGAGAAACAAATGCAAGGTATGCTAGGAAAATTTCTACTATATAAACGTTATGTGGATGATGCATTCATTACTGGTAATAATAGTAAGTTTATTGGAAACTTTATTACTCTATTTAACCATATTCATCCAAATGTCCGAGTAACTTCCGAACTCGAATCGAATAACGAACTCGGTTTCCTGGATATTACAATGACTAGGAGAGACGATGTAACGATTGAGGAATCGACACTTCGTAAGCAGACATGGAGTGGATAATATCTTCATTTCACCAGTTTTATTCCTATCCAGTATAAACGTTCCCTAGTGAAATATTTGTTCATAAAGGCCCGCGAAATAAGCATGAGCGACACATTGATGGATGAGTTTCGACACAAACATTCGGTTCTATTAGCTAATGGTTATCCAGGAAACTTTATCAGTTGTCACACCAAGGATAGACCACATCCTGAAAAAACAGCTTCTGTACCAAAGAAAGCTACCTTTACTAACCTGCCATTATTCAAGGGTGATTAAATTATGCAGTTGACAGCTAGCTCAAAGACTTCGAACAGCCATTAAACGCACACATTCTACACCGCATCTCTTTCCCTCACATCTCGAACATTCTCGATCCCTTTACCTATGATTAAAGGACGAAATTCTGTGAACTCTACTTCAAACTGTATCCACAAGTTCACCTGCAGCTGCGGTGACATCTATGTAGGTAGAACCAATAGAATGTTTGAATGTGGTCGTCGAAAAGAACGTGTTCCAAAATGGTTATTAAAACATATAGAAAATCCCAATGCAATTAATCTGAATATACACCCATCATCATCCATTGCAAAGCACTTATTAATGTCATATCACAAAATGAAAATGAATGACTGCTTCACAATTATTTCACATAATTCTAATTGAAGGTTCGTTATTAAAGGTGATGGAAATACTTTGGGGATTAATCACATACATCGTAAACTATGTGTATAAAAAACAATAGACTTCAACCTTCTCGCTTACCATGAACTGACTTCTTGACCTATTTCAAAATATGATTGGTCATTAGTGTTTGCTTTTGTTTTGTGTAGCTGAGTAATTGTCATGTATTTCATTTTATTATTGTGAACCATGCTAGTTGTAAAGCGATAGTTGGGGAACTGCGGGATGGTGTTGTCTCGCGAAATATGTCTTGTGAAGGTCTTATTCAAATTTGAAATGCGTCATGTTAACCTAGCATGATAGACATAATAAGAAATGTCATTTAGTGGTGAGACTTCCGAGAATATTTTTTAGAGGTTAAAGGAGAGCGCCTATGTGACAAGGACTTAAATTGTGTATTATCAATGTTTGTGGAGGATTTGATGACCTTATTGTAGGCGAAGTTAAACGAATCAGTTGGTTGCACTCTTTTTGTATAAAGAGACTAGGTTCTCTAGTATTGATTCCAACCTCAACGGCTACTGATAAGGACGTTATCAAGTCGCTCTAGACAGATTATCGGAAAGACGATATATCAGTCAATATGCCTACTCTTGTTTTATTGAGGGTTCAGTAAATGTCTTATGAGCCATAACCTCACGATGTAAGCAATTGGTTGTACTTGTACATGTACCATAGAATACATTTTCTGGTATAGTTCTAATTAACCATTACTGGTGCTATTATAGGCTAACATTAAAGAATTTATAAAACCGTTAAGTCTCAAGTATAAGTAGTTCAAGTGTTCGCTTACGGGGATCTCAATGAGTACAGAATTTCATGATGAGATGACATTGATTAGAGGACCTTCGGAAAACTAGATAGGAGTACTGGACACCTGTTCCGTCCTAGTTTGGGACTCTTCATCAGTACGCACCCACCACCAGGGTCCGAACTCAGGGCCTTCTGGTTACAAGGCCAATGCGCTCGTAGACCCTTAAGCCACTGGGACTCGATCCAATGGCCAGACCGTGAATTCCAACTTCTACCAACTCACGATATAGTGCGACCACTAACTAATGTCATCGGCGAGTATTTGTCCTCACACCCAACCTGTTGTAACCCCCACTGGTCACAACTTACCACTGGAACCCAGGTAACTGCCTACCTGAATAGGGCTAGTCGCTAGTGAGCATCATATGGATATTCAAGCGTTGGTTTGCAAGGATTTGATTGGTGACAATTGTCCACTCTAATTATTCTTATTCAGAAAAAATTATCACCAAGATAATCAAGTTACCTACTAATTAATTAATTCAAAAAATGCCGGAAAAAATTTATAATAATAGAAATAACAAAAATTACAAATCAAAAACTAACATGATTCAACTTTACTGTGCTTGTGGAGTTGACTGATTGTAAACGTTTAAACGGAGAGCCACCAACACCACCACCAACGCCACGACTTTCCAAATTTCGTATTATATTCACAGAGAAATAATGAAATAAACCACGACGACAATTTGATGTACACCATTGTAAATCTAAGAGATTCGACCGATTGCTTTGGAGTTGATTAAAATTATTATGATTTTTAATGAATTCATTAGGAAGAATATTAGTTGTAGTAGTAGTTGTTGTAGTGGTGATTGCTGTTGTTGTATTGACAGTAGTACATCCTTTTAATTCATTTAATAAACTTTTCCAGTTTATAATTGCAATCGGATGTGAACATATGATGGAAATAATATTCAATATGGTATCTAATAAATATAAAACAAAAAAGAACAATAAAAATTTATATTAAGACAAACTTGATTTCATTTTCTTTGCTTAATAAATTTAACTGGTTGGAGGATTTCATCATGAGCTGACATCGGTTAGAGAACCATTGGAAAACCTGCAGCGAGTACTGGATAGCTGTTTATATTGTCCTAGTTTGGGACTCTTCATCAGTACGCAACCATCGCCAGGATTAGAACCACCCAGGATTTTCCAGCTGCACGGTGAGCCGGTAGACCATTAACCTACTGGGACCCACCCGATCCAATGACCAGACCATGAATTCTAACTTTTGCCAGCCAGTTGATGACATAGCGTGACCATTTCGCAATGTCTTCTTCGATGAGTTACAGTCTCACCTTCAGCCTGCTGTAGCCTACAGGTCACGGCTTCCTACTAGAACCCCAGGTAACTGCCAATACTTCAAATTAATCTGATGCTCACCGGCGACTTACTTAAATTCAATACTTGATAATAAATTTAAATTAAACTGGCTGAGAATTCAACCTGGTGGAGATGTGGGGTCATTAACCTCAATGACTGAATGACTGAGACTAATTTTCAACACAGGAGCTTGCACATAGCTGCACAAGTTCAGGTTGCCACACTCCATATAGCACACAAACGTAAACAAAAGAGATTCTAAAGAAGAAGAAGAAGAATGAGCAGAAATCTACAGCAAAAAGAAGAACATGAGGATCTAATGGGCCTTGAGAATCACATAGTGTGAATGCATCCGAATCATTGTGAACGACTTTGAACCATACCACCAATAGTCTCCAGTCATTGGTTCTTATAGTCTCGACGACCCAAACCAACAGTCAAACACTTTACGGGTTGATTTCAGATTTCAATTTGATCACCCATTACTATCTTCCAACTTAATCCTATGTCAACTAACATTACTTGTCCAGGAGAGCGGTGGTTGGGCATAAGCAACACGCTTCACAACCTGATCGATTAACTTGCCTTCCTTACGCAGCACTCCACACTTAACCTCAATACTATTTCACAATATTATACTATTTAACGCAGGAGAAACAAAGCGAACATCTGTTATCAAAGGCATCTGGTCAGTAGATATCTTCCACTTTCCATGGCAACATCTCAAAACCATAAAATAAGAACATGACGAACTTAAGCACTTAAGTGAGCTCAAGTACTTGACTTCGAGTCAATGGTTTTCGGGTCCAATTTCTGCTCCACTCACTTTACAGTTTGGAGGCAGCTGGATGGTATCATCAGTCTTCTCACACACGCACGCACACACAATATGGCTCAAATAATTTCTTCCAGATAACTGAATTCTGACACTGAGTAAAAATGTACAACCCTGTACAAAAATGCATTAATTTGACATAATACATAAATGTTTTAATGAATTTATCAAAGTAGAGAAGAGATAGAGTTGATGATATGAAAACCTGTCACTAATCAATCATTAGGTTACATGGGTTGAGATAGCTAGGACACGTAATGCATGCTCAGTCACCGCCCCTCTCGTCCAGCAATGTTAGCTGCCATAGGATTAGGTTGGAAAGGAGTTAGTGGTGGTCACATCAAAACCTGGAATCAATCCGTAAAGTATTAGATTGTCAGGCACACAGGGCGGTGTAGACCACCTGGAGTTGGCTTCCGTAGGACGCTAAGTACTAATGACTGTTGTTGAAATGACTTTCAATAGCAGAGATGAATTCACCTTTTTGATCTCGTGGATTAGCTAAATTCTCAGCATTTTTCATGCGATTTTTTTCTCCCATACACATCCATTCCATCGGGTATTTTTTCTACATACTTGTCTACTATATGAAGTAAAGTAACTTGAACTACTGCATCTGCGTACAGTCCCACGTTGAAAACTCAATCAGTCACTTATGTGACTTAACAGGTAAGTGAAAAAATAAAAGCACTTTGAGAAAACAAACCAGACTTAAATCGAACATATAAAAGCCCATTTATGTGCAAGAAATGAGGTATACCAAAATAATAGCAATAAATTCTTATGCAGAAGACAAATACATTAATACATGTATGTATGTACATTACCATACTCAGAATGTCCAAGTCCTTTGAAAGATATCCTTGAATTTTCAATATCCTTACTAACCAGCTGACAGGGTGTTATTATTCCAGTTGGATCGTTACCTCTGACAACAGTATCAGAATGTACAGAAATAGAACTTCCAGTAGTACCAAAATCTGGTTCATCGTTTTCTTTAGTGTTTTTCAGACTTTCATATGTACTGCTCAAAAGATCTGACAAATGACGATAATCTTCTTTCAGGATATTAATAAAAGACTGAAATACTTTTGAGCTATCAGTACGACGCAATAGACAGGCGACCAAACATCGAACACCTGCTCTTCTACCCTCTCTTTGCGATGTCGCTATGATTGATTCATAATCAGCCGGTGTAATTGATGGAGGCGTAGTTGCAGTCAAATGGTCGATGATATCCATACTTTCTAAATCTGCTACAAGAGCTGGTAAATTTCGCATAACTGCTTGTTCTTCATTGGATAACATCACTTTAAGGCTAAAACACAAAAATCAAACAGAATAATATTGGAAATCGTGTATGCCCAGATTTTCAGAGTATCAGTGATGAAAATAATGGAGCAAGAAGTATGCAGAATGAAAATGTTTAAGTGTGATCAGAAGCTGACATTAGTTAGACACCAATGCAAACCAGGGAGTACTGCACAGCTGTTTCACTCCTGTTTGTGTCTATTCACATGTCCGCAAGCAGGGCCTTCGGGTTAAGAAGTCGGCACTTTGACAATTTAGCCACTGGGACGGAAGCCAACTACCCATGGAGTGTAACTTCTGCCAATTCGCGATACATAACGTCACTGACGAGTATCTGTCCTCACACACGATTTGATGGACCCCACTAGGTAGGACTTCTTGCCAGATATCCAGGCAAATGCATCCTGCAGTCACTATTGAACATTACATCAATGTTATTAGCGCTATATAAAGCATAAGAAATGGTAATATAGTTAGTTGTAGTAAATTATCTGTAACTTCACGAGGAATCGTGAAAGAAACACAGAAACGTTGAGGGTATGGATGAAATTCACAAGGAAGCTTTATGTTCTCATGGGATTATGTCGGTGACCATTACTTCTCGGCTACCTATACTGTGAAAGTTGACTTCTTGAAATACTTTTTCAGCATACATCTTCCAACTCACCTGAAGCCAGACAAAAAAGGCTGTTCAACTGTAAAACTCGATTTAAAAAACTTCAATTCACAAAGAGAAAGGCTATTTGGTTTGCAGCACTTAGCTTCCAATATACATTCATTGAAGCACATATGTCACCATGTTTATTTTTACCTTCATACGAAGAAGACAAACCAGCTGACAGGCTTCCCGAAGGCCTTCACCAACCCAAGTCATTACATCTCTCTGATTCTAGCAAAGATTGACTTAATATATTTTTATATTTCCTCTATAATTTGAAATTTTTGTCGCGACTGGATTGATTCTATGGAGTAGGATTGCTAGCCTCACGCTCAACTTCCCCTCTTTTCTGGGCTTAGGACTGACTGGTAAGTTAGTGAACCAGCAAACTAAGCGAGGTGAAGCACGTAAGTGACGACATTACGGTGCACACAGAAGTGAAACATTTCAACAAATCCCCATTTGAATCATATATGCATACCGTTAGATAAAACGTGCATCATGGCAACCATTCTGCTACGGAACGACCTAAAATAATCTACCAATGAAATATATCACACGTGTTACTGATGGGAAGCACCTGCTTAGCACATTAAAACGTCGCCGAATTCTACAAACTAGTTGCTTCTACGGAAGTAGAATTAAAGAGGGACTGGGGGACACGGAATTCATCCCAATCAAGACATGGTATGCTCTGAAAGTTGATTTCCACTACGACTTCGATATGTCCACTTGTACTGGTAGAGTCTACGCCATCGTACGCAGATATACATAAGAGATATCTATAAAGACCTGCTAAAATCAATGAATTCTCTCTATCTGAGAACACCAAAATGCAAAATGTAATACGAAATAAGTTGTTTTCCAGTGTTGTTCTGCAGACACTCGTTGATGATATTGGCTGGCGGTTGTGACATTTACCGCGAATTCTCAGAAGCTACAGTTGATAGGCGACTTGACTCCATTCCAGAGGCTCAATAGTAAACGAGCTCTCCTCCTAACCTGAAGGTCCTGGGTTCGATCCAGTACTCCCTAGAGGTCTTTAGTGGTTCTCTAACTGGGGTCAACTCGGGATTAAACATGACAACGCATGCGATCTACCTGCAAGGATGTGCGTCGCTGGCACAGCGGTTAGGACTCTCACCGACCATGCACATGGTCCGGGGTTCGATCCCCTACCGATGCACACCTGATATCAATGGTCGGTCTGCAAAATTTGGGCTACCGATATCACATGCTGAAAATTCCATACTTGCACCAAAAATACAATGTGGAATCAAGCTATAATCAAAAAATATATAGAGAGTATCCAAAATTTAATTTATCGTCTCAAGACAAGATGGTTTCAGCTTTAGATTCTAGTAATATGAACAGTTGTACACGAGACTCTTCAAATTCTATACTTATTCACACAGCTGGACAATGTACGATCCACCACTCTTTTACACATTTTCATATGTGGTAACCAGGATTGTAAGACTTAAAGAAATTTCAAAGTTACTAAAAAAACGTCAATACGTAACTGCCAATCATCTAACGTTCACGATGTAATCAGAAACAGCTGGAAAAATGGTGAGATATATACGTTTAAATTACGTATTTTGAGAAGTTAATGCGACAGGACGGTGATTTATATATACTACTTCAGAACAAGAATAATTTGGGAGAACAACCCTGGCTCAATTATAAAATCAGTTATGTTGGCATACAAGAGCCACTAAATGCGAATCATACCCGAAACACTATTCAGATAAGAAATTGAACCATAGTCCACCATATTTGATCATCATTTAAATGCATAACGAAATGAACATTCATCACAAAAATGAGATAAAATGCGGTGAAACAGTTAAGCGGCTTGTTTAGACATTTATGGTCAACAAAATTATAAGCTTCAGGAGGTAAGTTATATTCATTATGAGAGGAAATTAAATGAGATTTCAACGGAGAAACTTGCTATACGTACACCATAATGTGCCATCTAGAGGCAGTGAAATGTAGCTATCCGTTTCTAGGGAGAGGTACCATTTCAGAAGAGGATGGTGTTCACGAACAGCTTAGTTCTTTTCATAATGTGAACTTTGGTGTTTGGCGCCGGCGACGACTCTTGTTGTCAGACGACATGCATAAATCGCCCCAAATCTTTTCTTAATAACTTCCGTGCACAGGACGGGGCACTAAAGCATCTGCGTACTCGAGTAGATGAGTTAATGCAATGTCTCGCTTCAGGGCCTTCTACATTGTAGAGTGTAATTTCAAAACAGGTTGAATCACAAGAGTGGTGCCGCAGCTTTTCGAGGCGTTTGAATTTCACTCCAGTGATTCATCATGTTTCAATACAATACAATACAGTAGGCCTAGAAGCAAGATTTTGCGTATACGCAGAAACTAGTGCCTAGTCTTCGCACCTAATCCACCAGGAAGAGACTGGAGGAGATCCCTGCACGTCATCTGACAACGCAAGTCGTCACCACACACCAAACACCACAGTCTTTATGACAAGAGGAGCTAAGCTGTTCGTGACCACCACACCCTCTTCTGAAATAGCGCCTCTCCCCAGACACGGATCACCACACGAAAGAGAGAGAAACTTACCGCCTTTATATATATGCAGTGTTTTCGTACATCTTTCAATATTCAATTTACTTCAGGTGAACAATTCAGGAATAATTGATTTCTCAGTCCTTTTTCCATGATAAGGTGAAATGCTTTTTAGTCTCGTAGAATTTCAAAGTAGTAGATATACCTAGCTGCCTGAAGTGGCTGTGCCAACTTGATATAAGGATAAAACATAATTCCACTATGGATAAAATTTGCTTCGACAAAGTCACACAGTTTTATACGGTAATATTTTCTTATGACGTTTCGAGCACAATTTATTGCTCATAATCATATTAAGGTACTCACACAAATTCCTTGCTTCATTCATATACATGAGTCATATCAATAGAAATCAATAAAGGTTCGTTAGAAATGCGTGATACAGGGAGGAAGATAAAGCACATCCGGAAGCAATATTAGTGTTTTCAATAAAATGTAATACGATGATAATTAAGGCAAGTGTTTTAGTCAATCTACTATGGAAGACAAACAACATGGTGAGGTAATCGGTATTATTCTGCTCATCCACTACGCGAACCGATTGTCGGCCAGCCCGCTTTGAATATCCCATCAACTGAATGTTGTAGAAAATCCCCTAGACATCGGCTACAGGCTACATCCAGTAAGCCAAATAAGCCCATAGAACTCATTCATACATCTTATGTATTTAGTAGGGAGCATGTGCCGATATCTACACAAAACTTGCTATGGTTTGATAACTACCCCAATCAGATATCAAGACTTCGTTCCTATTCTGGCAACAAATTACTGAATACTCATATCGATTATAATGTAGCGGTAGGTAATTCCCCAGAATTATTGGCCACAGTACTCATCACTGAACATTGGATAATGACCCTCATTGTTTAAGTCAACTTGTTTGGCTGAAGGCTTCTGATCAAGTATCCGCACCATTTGGTACGCCGCCGTGTCATGTTCGTTCGTTCGTGCAGGATCCCTAGCTAGTTAACCAAGCATCTCGCACTCCGATTCGGTCCCTAAATACAACTCAAAATTTGAACGGTCCATTCTGATGTTTTGCTTTGCCTTTAGTCTACGCGCAACGAAAACTATAGAAAATGTGAGTATTAGATCTTGCGTTAGTATACATCGCACTATCCGTGAACGTCAGTATCTTCAGCCTCTAAAATAACTTTCACAATAACACTGCCCCGACTGGCCGCTTCGAGCAGGATCTTCATCGGCATCGGTTGACGGAAACACCTAGCATCATGCATATAGCACGCATGATGTCGGATTAATTACTTGCCGACATAACGAACAATCCACAGCTAGGACAGGGCACATTTCCCAGGGGATAGCTGATACAGTGTCGTCACCAAACGCGGATACTAATATCTCTAATTATCACACATTTGTCTCTCATTGCATACCCTATCCAAACGACAGACCACCCCTGACTACCACCTAACAAACCTGCCTGAAGTCTTCCTGTGGTCCAAAAATAGTGGTTAGTGAGTCTAAAAACATGTACACAGAAGATAGTCACGGAATATTTTATTAAGATGTTGTCCACGTAGTCAGTGTTTATCTACTATCCTCATCAATAATAGATCAGTCCTAAACAAACACTTAACACCAATTACATTAGCTTCTACATGTAGACCGTTATTGATTATGACCACTTGAGCCTGGTGAACAAGCGAAATCTCTAATGACAGCCTAAGAGTTGATAACTAACACCTTTTACGAGGGGACAGAGAGACATGCCGTGGGGATGGAATACTAATTTACTGTAAACAGCCTAAGTGTGTAACCCAGTTCAGCAACCCAATTCTATCACAACTAAATGACTCGACCTGGGTCAAAATAAAAGTTGACAGAAGTAAACCTATTATATAATATATATTTATTCCTATCCATGCAGAGCACAGCAGTTGTACAGGCATGGATAAGTATTATTCAAATTACATAAATTTGCTTTATGGTGAAACTACGTGATTGCTGTCTTTTTTGTCTTTAGTTTGTGGGAACAATCTACTAACTAGTCATTCAATGGAGCACATCAAGAAATTTAGAAGTACCGTCCTCGCATTAACAAAAACCCAAGTATGTGTTGGATGGATTGCAAATACTTGGGAAAAAATAAAGCTCGAAGTCATTTCCCCCATATAACTTTTGGTGTGTATGGCATCGAATCTTATTCATGATTTATAATCAAATTGGGTATTAATTTAAAATAAGTGGTACATTCGTTTATTTTTGTCGGCATTTTCATCGTGAGTAACACCAGAAGTGAATTGTACTCGATGCAGACTAATATTGATCGTTGTCAGGCAGATTGGTTTTATTGTGCCCACGTCAGCCAAAACCGCCATTTGTCACTGCATGGTTGTTCTGTACGAGTAAGTTAATTAACGTGTAGAAAGCTATTCGTAAACCGTCTTAGGTACTGCTTGTGTAGGGTGTTATACAGCGTCCGGATATGGTGACAGTGGATATTTCAGGGATGCTGAGTCATTACTATCCCAAGACTTGAAGGATGATATATGAGTAAGTGACTTCAATTGTTGCTCAGCTTCAGTCTAAATGCAGATCTGTGCAACTTCCACCACAAAGCAAATAGAAGAGAAGGGGCTTGCAGGAAGGTACCAGAGATGAAACGGAAAGTATGTGGACACGAATAGGACCTTAATGTTCGTATAAATGTGTATATATTCATTATGCATTTCCGTTCAGTAAAGATATATATTTACTTTTAATTAGTCTTTATTATGTATCTTTGCGACTAGTCCATTTATCGGTTGTGGAGTAATTAGGGAAATTTTGTGCGTCCTTTATGTGTTGTAGGGATCCAATAATTTATTCGTTCTAGAAGTAAATAGTCTGTTAATGTAATCAGTAGAGTGAAACAGTCTGCACAGAGAGCGTCCTAAACTTATGACCGAGGTGCAAGTCCTGGCTTCTAGGGGCATGCTGTTCCATGTTTTAGAATACTCGACTGTGGAAAAGTTTTCGTGGAGTGTTGGTTTAAAGGCTTTTATTGTTACCATGCATATCGTAAGAGACTTCCGGTGAGAATTGTTTGTCCTTATTGTCTGAGTCCGATATTTTGTGTAGTACCCTAAAGAAGAATACTAGGTTTATAACAAGTCGTCTCGTCCAAATTGGGTCAAGATTTAGAATAATTCACTGTGAGAGGTAGTCCTTCTTACAATCGAAGCCAAGTAGTTTAGAGGTGAAATATCGTTGGATACTTTCTATCCTTAGCTTGTCAGATGTGTGAGTGCTGCTGATAATAAATGGACAGTATTCCAGTAGTGGCCTCACACATGTTTTGTATGAAATGAGCTTGGCTTCATTGTCGTGAAAGTTCCTGAGTATGCATCCTAAAGCATCCCAGACTCTCGAGTATGTGATGGCACTTGATCAGAGAATGTTAGGTCTCTAGAGTACCTCAGACCTAAGTCACTGATACTTCGGAGTCTGGGTGAGTTAGCAAATTTAAGTGTTAGGTTTATGTCGATTAATGGTGCGCCGAAGCAGATGCAACCACATTTGATCAGATTGAATTTTAGATTCCATAAAGATGATCAAGCAGTCACTTTACCTAATTGATTCTGTAGAACATTCCGGAAGTACCCCTGGTCATCACGGTGGAACGTGTAAGCTACTCTTGGGTCATCTGCAAAGATGAATGGTTTCTTATGTGAGAAGCAAGCGCAAATGTCATTGATATAAAGTGTAAATAGGAGGGGCCTAATGACACTGCCTTGTACTACAGCAGAGGTGATCGGGCTAGGTTTTGAAGTCTCAGACCCAAGTCTAACTATTTGGGACCTGTTGTTAAGGAATGATATAACCCATCCTAAGAGTGGGTCACGTATTCCCAAAGAGTTCAGCTTATTTATTAGCAGTAAATGGTCGACAAGGTCAAATGCCTTGGAAATGTCAAAGTAGATGACAAGTACTAGTTGTCGCCTGTCATGGCTGCTGGTCATAGACTCAATGAAGTCTAGGTGGCATGTTAAACATGATCTGGATTTTAGGGATCCATGTTGGTTTGGACTTACAATATTGCAGCCAAGCATATGCTTGAAAGTGTTATCTTTAATTACAATTTTGTTTATTATACTTGTTAATACTTGTGTTTATGAATCATGATTGGACAAAGTTTTTAAAAACAAAAGATGTGCCTTTTATATATAGAACCTCTGTTATGTTAATTTTGATTAATTTCCCTGAAGAAGTTCGGACCAGATTGCCGAACGAAACGTTGGAATTACTCATTTCAATATCGCTGAGATATTACAAATATAATTTTTTACAAACGTTATCTTTAATTAGTCTCTTCATAATACTTTATGCACAATTTACACAGGTAAAGGCGGTCTAATTGATATAATCGT